GCTCTCAGCAACCCTTCCCACCCTCTGTTTGGAATGTCAGTGCACAGTGACCATCATCTGTTGTTCATAATGAACAGTAGAGTATTATCTTAATAGGACACTAAGAAATCAGAAGCAGCAGAACTTTCCACTTTTCTGTTACTGCACTTTTCCTGCTTATTCACTGATAGTATAACGTAAAACATTTGTAGTTCTCGGAGGAATATTGGGTAGTGTTGTAGTGACATCCTGTAGCTTAGCTTGCCACTAACATCTTCCAAAAACAGAATCCTGTTGAATAATTCACTACCACCTCTTCTACCACCTCAAGATGTTGTTGCCATGCCAAAATATATTTTGAAAAACTGTTTATACAGTCACACTTAAGGATGCATTATTTACCATTGCAATATATATTACAATACATTAGGCGTTTATGTGGCATCAATATAGCTATCTATATTCTTTAGCCCTTGTCGTGTCAGACCACCTGGAGTTTCCTGGATTGTTACCCAAGGCCTCTCTCTTCTCAGCTCCGCTCTTACCTATGGTGTTGCAACAGCAGGGCTACTGCTGGCCCAGTGGGGAGTTAGCAGTTCTCCCCTGAAACTGACTCCTTTCTGAGAGCTCCACTGGCCTGCCCCCATACAGAAACCTGTGTTTCTACTCATTTCTGCTTACCACTAACTCTCTGGTGCACTAAAGGTCGGCCCCGCTGGCATATGAGCACAGACATGAGCAATGTTGTTGATCATGCCTTAATACTGTCAACCCCTTGAGACAAGGAAACCATAAATGAAACATGAAATATTTCTCGCTCGCTCTTTCTCTCCAAACTGGAATCAAAAGGCCAGTTGCAAACTTCTTTAATATAAAAGGATTTTGTTATTTTAAAGCTAATTACTTTTGGCTCAGTACTTTAGGATTTGAACAAGTTCATCTCATTCTACTTGAAATAAAATATGTGTTAAAATTACAGCTGGGAATAATCTGCCCTTGCTTGGCACTCATTTTTCCATTCCTTGATCCAGGTTGTTGTGGGTGTAGTAATGCTTTCTGCTTCATAAAGCTTCTTAGTTTCTGCTCCAAGACAATTTGTCAGTGAAAACAAAAGGTCAGTCGCAGGGACATGTTCCAGGGACATTATTCTAATGAACTAATATGCAAGCATATTTTAAGAGGTCAGACTTGAAAGATGACGTAGTAGGTTAACGGAGATGGGATAGACAGCAGAATTGTAGATCATACATACTGGCGTGTTTAGATGTCACTGTTACAGAAAAGTCTCCCATGTGTGGATATGAAACTGCATTAATGAGGTTAAATTCTGTTGCATGCTTAGGGATATGTTTCGTATAACCACACTTGTCATTTTTAGGTAGAGAAAGCATCTTTGGAATTACTTGAGCCAGGAGCCTTAGGGTTCAAGTGGGCCTGTCTTACAGGTCCAACCACTTCTGGATCATATTAAGTTGCCACAAGAGGGAAAGCAGCATGTGGCTTGGTGTGGTTATGATAAAAATGCTTTGTCCAATGTTTTGTTCAAAATGTAGGGAGCAAAAACATGGGAGAAGCCAGGTTTGAACATACAGGATGCCCAGAGGTCTGTTTCAGAAGATGACATGACTGAGAGCCAGTCTGTTTTGCCTGGAACTAATGCTGGGAAGGAACCCAGTCTGGGGATCTACAGCATCTGTGAGCCAAATATGACTCCATGGTCTAGTTCTGGTTGCTTGCATCTTGAAGGCCCAATCTCTGAAACAGATTAAAGAAAAATGGCAATAGATGCAAATTCTCATGATAGGCCTTTTTAAAAAGCTCTTTGCTGTGACACCTCTTGAGTGTGTTATGAACTGCTGTACCCTTATTACTTCCTCTTTCCTTGATAACTATGTTAGTTTTATATTAAGCATAATTTATATAGCAGTTATACAACCAGTTGGTAATCAATGTCTTTTATGTAATTTAATACAATCATGTACATTTTTCATTAAAGCATATTTTAAATTGGTATAATATGCTGAGGTGACCCTTTAGAACCCATATCAGTAACATGATGGCCATGAATGGTAACTTTGCCTTATCAAAAAGACCTGTTTGGGACAAGTTGGAAATGCAATTCTCAGCAGTACCCTCTACCTACTCTAGCTCTCCAGTGTGTGCATCGCTGCAAGGGGACAGTAGGAAAGCATGGGTGTGCTGCACAGGGAAGGCAACAACATCTCCCTACCCCCCAAAAACTATGTGAATGAGGCAGAGTGATGATGCTATAAAAACCTGGTCTGGGTGCATCCAAGAAGCATGGTGGTAATGCAGGGATGTTTCAAAGTGGGAAGGTCTGTCTGGGACCGATGTTCTGGAATACATGTCCTGTATTGGGCACCTAAAAAAAAAATTCAAACCACTGGTATAGCAAAAGTGGGAAACTTTGCCCAAACGTATTCAGGGTGAATGCTTTACCAGTTTGCTTATGATGGAACTAGATAATGCCATTTTCCCCAGCCCTGTATCTGATATCTCATTTTCACTCTGAATTACGAGCAAAACTCAGCTGGTGTCCTATTTTGCTGAGTGTTTCACTGCTTTGGAATGAGCCATCTGGCAATAAAGAGTAGTGGAGATGCAGCAAGGTGTAGAATAAATTTAACTGTATGCTCCAAGAAGAGGAACTCAACAAAGGGTTGCCATTTTCTGAGGTAGCCTTGTGTTTCTCTTAAGCTATAGTTCTTATTTGAGGGCTTGGATAGACTGTTCACTCAGAAAAAATACCACTATTGTGAAATAGAAGAACACTGTTACAAACTATCTGTTCATCTTCCTTCTCTTCTCATTCCCTGACCCTGAGCATTACAGTATTATGGTTTGCTTTTTTATTTTACATCCTTGTCTCATTCTCAATTTTATTTTTGAAATAAATTTGCAGATATGTGCAATGATAGTTGCCTAATAGGTTTCCACTGTTGGAATACCTGAATATTTTGTATGGGTTTTGGAATGTCCTCTGCTGTATTACAATGATTTTCATGGTTTAGGTGGTATTTCCCAGAGTTGTTGAATTTTGTGCTACAGATGTTGCATTGCCATTGGTAAACTGCCATGGCATGTTGTTTTAAACACCCAGGCTAGGAATCATATCAAGGTTTTGCTAATGTGGTTCCAGCTGCTCTCTCACTTAGGTTATTGTTTTTGTTCCTCCTGTTGGTTTTCTTTACAAATGTTGTGGAAACACATTGGGGTCTTTTGTTGTTGTTAATCTGTATAGAAGTTTAAGCTAACTTATTTAAGGCACCAGGGCACTGGTATATCCAGGCATTCTATGACCGGCATTTTGATACCACTCAAAACTTTCATATTTTTCAGTGACTCCTGAAGCACAATACTAACAGTTTGCAGAGTCAAATGTTGAGAAGTGATGCACATACTTTTGTGAACCTGTCTTTGATTAGTGGAGTTGGCCAGTCCCTAAAGGATAATGTGTCAGTTTTGGACTCTGCAGTCTCTGTGGGTGCAGCACCTGTGAAGAATTTCCTCAGCATTTTCACACATGTTCCATGCTCATTGTTCTCTCTTCCCCCTACCCACACAGGTGGGGAGGAAGTGAGCTTTGCTTTGTAAGGTACACAGAAATGAGTGAAAAGAAGATAGTTCATTCCACTTGCTCTTTCAACTCTCTATACTTTACAAAGCAGAGATGACCAAACAGGTATGGAGCAAAAGATGAGCTGATCAGGAAAGAACGTACCCTGCATAAATGTTTTAACAGACAGATGGCAGTTGAGTGTATTGGGGGGAGAGGGAAATGAAGGGGAAAAGCTGAGTGTGTCTATCCCCTCCCCCTCCCCTTGGGTCTGTGCTCTCCTTCCCCTGTCTGTGTCTATGATATTTCCCCACCCCACCCCACCCCAAACCCACAATCTCTGGGGATACAGTGAATGGACATATACCCATGGCAGCCATTTTGTGTTGGTGCCCAGGACACACACACCCTGATTTCCTAATGGTGTCCATGGGTCCAATAAGGTGAGGCCACCTCTTCTTTAAGGCAGTCAGAGGAGATGCAGAACAGATGCATTCTTGTCTAGGTAGAAGAGAACTTTCAAGTGGTTCCCAGAAACCACAAGATTCCTTGGAAATAAGATCAGTAATGGTGAACAACCTTTTCCAAAAGACAGATGTACCATTCTTGCTCTGTAATGTGCTGATTAACATAATGTTGCGTGTGTGTTGGGGTGCATGAGGTGAACTAAGCATGCAACCTAGCACATGGATGCTCCAAGGATGTCTCCAGTCTTAGGTGTCCTGCGGCAGGAACTTGCTGCCAAGTTATTCCTAAGCAGATAAGAACTGGAAAGCCATCAAGTGAGAATGATACTTTCCTGATTTATTTATACCTGTCTTGTTCCCACGCCTAAAATGTGCCCTACAGTCAGATTACATACTGCTGCGTAGATGCAAATGTGAACTATCATCAGTATACCAGCTGGGCATCTTGTCTTTAGAAATGACAAGTATATTGCACAGTGTTTTGGATTTCTCTTTCTTTTTAAAAAAATTGTTTGCCCTCTGAAATGGTTATAATATTCTTATGTCCCTGCCTATTATATCTGTATGAAATTCAGGCACTTTAATACTATAGTCTAATTTTAACAAAGAAAGAAAACCTATTTTAATATAGGAAGATATCATTGACCTTATTGAGCAATTAATGGAGATAATTAAGCTATCACTGTGACTGAAATCTGAATACATTTGTAGTTTGAAAAACATACAGCACAGAATCTGAGTAGCAAAGAGAAGCATTCAGTCTTTGGGTTTATTCCTTTGGTATTGGTGAACAGGTGAGTATTGTTATCTTCCATAATGGAAGGACTGTTCTGGGCAGAGCTACTGAAGGGATTACAGTAATATGAAGTGAAATTGAGCTGGATGAGACTCATCTTGTGCAATTAAAGATAGTTCCATTGACTGAGAGAGAGAAAAGAACAGGCATGTTTAAGGCACTCTTTTCATTTATTTCATAGGATTACCTTGATTGTATCACTGACCAATCCAAGCTCTCTTTGGGCACAGAGGAGCGATCAGCTTTGTTTGGAAACATAAAAGATATTTACCATTTCAATAGGTAAGTCACTATTTGATTTAAGTGAGTACATATATAGAGACTACAAATTAAAGGCTTTCTTGTCTTTTTCCTAGTGGAGTAAAGGTTAAGTTCAGGGCGAGTTGGCATGCTGGACTAGAATATCACAAAAGTGTCTGTAGGGATTAGCTTTCTTTCCACGCTCTCTCCTGCCATGGAAGATGATAGCGTGTGGGTTGACCTACTGCCAAATCAAGAGCCTTGTCTGCACCATTTGGGTGCACCAGGAATGGGAGGCGCCTGAGTGCTTACCTCACTATCTCACTTCTGCATTCAGGAAGGGACGCTTCTGTCAGATCTCCTCCTCCTTGTTAATTTTCATTAGAGTAACAGGGACTCTACAGAGTGATTGTAAATTAATAACAGTAGCCATTCCCACCCACTGAATTAGTTCTGCTGTTAGATCTACATTTAACAGCTATTGGAGTATTGTCAAGAGAAACTTTTCTTAAATAACTCCAGGCAATGCATACACATGTAATATCTATCTTAAAAAGCAAGGAGAGATTTAAAAGGGCCATTTAAGTTGTTTTGGCAGCTAGACATTTACCACATTTCTCTCCTTTTTAGTTTTGGCAGCTTGACAGTCTCAATGCTTAGTGTAAAATATCAAGTTGTTTGAAAAAAGGAAAGTCAGAATTGAATATTAGTTCCTTAAGCTATTAATTGCTAGCATTAGCACTCTGCCTGGACAGATTTTTTGGGATTTGATTCTTTCCCACTTACCCTTCCATAATGGATCGCTCCTAATAGAGCATGAAGAATAACTTCTCCTAAGAATTAATAACAAACTGCCCCTTAATGCAAGTGTAGCAATTTGTCCTAGCTGTCTTAGGACAAGCAAGACTTGTGGGGACAAGAAATACATTGCTGGGAACCATGTTTAGGATTAAGTGGGCCACATGATTAGGGATTGTAAAATTAGATCATAAGACCGTGGGTGAGGTTATACAACATGGCAACTCATTCTGCAAATGAGCTACACGCTGTAGGTTGTTTGCAGAACTGTCAGGCCCCTTTCTGCCTTAGTCTTCCAGTCAGTTCCTCTCGGGGCATAACCCATCCCGTCTCTTGCATCTCTGCTCCAATCATAACCCCTTTTTGTCTGTCTCTTCTCCAACTGTGACATTTATTTGTTCTCTACCATTTTTTTGAGATTCCATAAAGCAGAATTCATAGGAATGAAAAACGTCTCCTGAAATTTGTGGAAATACCTTCTTTTTAAATGTTTTTTTAATGTATTTTACATTTTGTGGACTTTTGGAGTAGGCTCCCCTTTTTGTCTTTCCAACACATTCAGTATTTTCTGGTCTTTTACCTTGCCAATTACAGCTGTCAAACAGGAACAGAATAACAAGGTGAGACTGCATATAGGCTAAATTATGAACAAGTGACAGATGTCAATTGGGATGTATCAGCAAGTGGGGAAAATCTGCAAAGGTAAATGATTCAAAGGAGGAAATCAATGAAATGACAGTAGTGCAGGTTAAAAAACTGAAGTCTGAGGGCCTGAATTATGATTCCCCCCCCATCAGATTCTTCACACATCCCTATTTAGTCCATCTTTTCGCATCACCTCTAAGTTTTTTTTCCCTCTTTCTTTTACGTGTCTGGGAAATTTGCACGTTTTGGGAACAGAGACAGAGATATACATAAAGATTTCAAGGGTGGGGCATAAATAAAGTATCACATGAAATCAAAAAGATATTCTAAGAAGCGCATGTGAAATGGCTCCACATTTGTTGCAGTACAAACAAGGCCCTAAAGTCTTTTTAAAAGCATGAAAGATGGAACTGATGGTGCCCTTAGTAGGGAGAAGGTGAACCAACCACACATGGACGATTGTTGCGTAATTTATTCATATTGCTAGTGTAAGCATAAAATGAAAAACTGGAACATTAATAACTACAGAACCTAACGAGCTCACAGTCATAGAGGAGAGAGCACTGTTAATGGGCTACTTCATCTTAACTTAGATGTAAGGGACAGTTTCTAACTTGCTTGTAGGCAGTATATGTCGGTATGTGTTTTCGGTTTTTTTAAAACATGAAATTTTCCTTTTTTTATTGTGTGAACTAGTGAACTTTTGCAAGATTTGGAAAACTGTGAAAATGACCCTGTAGCTATAGCAGAATGCTTTGTTTCTAAGGTAAGTGATACTGCTTTCTAGTCCAAGATAAAGTATATTGCAGCTCCTTTCAATGAAAAAAACAAACTTCTACAATAAATTCCTAAGACTGATACATGACTGGGATATAAATACATTTTTAAAATGGATTCTATGGACATTGGAATACCTTATGTTTTGTTATCTAAATATTTTTGAACAGATCAAGATTTATGAAAATATTTCAGGCCCATTTCCTTTTTCCTTATTTAATTTTATACTGGTCATAATTATGGATAGATGAACATTAATTTCAATATTTCTTTTTGTTCTATTTCAGCTCATTTTTAAACTCATCATTTTCATTTGTATGTGTATTTAGGGTGTGATTTCTAACATTAGGTATGTTTTTGCAAACCATTTCCACGACATCTTCTTCTGTGTCTAGTGCTAATCTACCTGAATTCTTTTGCAATATATGCAGCTCCTCAACAGTACAACTGTGCATCAAATCATTGCTGGTTATGCTAAATCCTTTTAAACTATTTTTTAAAGTTAGGCTTGATGGAAGAAAAAGTATGATTCATCTCTTTGAACTAACACTTTCTTTTGTTTATTTGCAATACTTCATTATTTTTGATACTTTCTTCTCTTTCATTTTTGCTTCCTTTCCCTAGGGGCTAGTATTTCAGAAAGCGCAATCGCTCTATGCTCTGTTTATAGTTTAGATTACTGTTATGCAAAATAAAAATGTAAAGAAAAGATAGTTAATGTCAATTAATGTGGCTTTGGGGTTAATTGTACATTAACAGTGAGCTCTGATGTATGAAAGCATTTTGAATAAACAAGTAAAAAGTATTTACATATCGACATATGGTATCTACAAGGTGTCTACATATTGTGTCCACTGTCCTGGTTTGCAGAGGGTGACATCTAGGAATGTAGCTAAATCTGTTTTCTTTCTGTTTTACACACAGTCAGTCTTTCATGCCTTCTTTGTCTGATTGATAGAATTGGATCTTTTGCATGGGAATGTATGTAATATGCAGTAGTACAAGTGCATATATGCAACTTTTTGTCTTGATCTGACTCCTAAGTGCGTTCTCTTGGCAAAGTTTAGGTTTGTGTTGTTCTCATGGACCTACATGGATTTAATTCTTTATTTTTCTTGTTGTTTTTATTTGATGAGTGCTGACTTGTTGAAAATTATTTCAGTTTCTTCCATGGTTATTGGAAGTAAGCAAAAATTTCATAGGCTTATGCATGCAACTTAAAATGAGTTGCGATTTTTTTTAGAAACCTTATTTAGTAAAATAGTGTACCTCATCTTCTTTTTCAAAAGCACACCTCAGTATTTTTTTTTTCCAGAGGCAACATTTTACATGTATTACCACTACAAGGCAGTATAGCATGTGCGAGAGGGCATGGAGTTCTCTCTGGCACCCACGCTCACACACACTCACACATGCATGCGTGCACATGATGCACACAACATTGTGGACCTGTTAATCCACTCCGCCACATTGTCTCTTACTGTTCCTTTATCCCTCCTGAGCTGTGTACAGAAATTTTGCCAGAGGGACGCATAACCCTTGTAAGTTTCCATTCCAGAGATGAAGTCTTGGTCAGCAACTCATTGTGCAGAATGTTGCTTGCCCTGTCCTAACACTGCCTCAGGTTGATTTGCCCAAAACTCATAAGAACATGGATTGGTACGTAGAAATGGGAAAACAACATATTTACATAAAAATCTTCAATGGCCCTGGCCTAGGCTACAATTTAGCCTGCTTTAAAAAACAAAAAACTCATGGTAATAGTGTTGTAGCCTGCCTCCTTAGATTTTCAGGTCCTACTGAAATATTCCACGTTTCTCATATGGCCCACTATGCTTGGGCCATATGGATATTGTACACCTACATCAAAATTCATTAGAATCTTTGCCAGTATTGCTATAATTTCTGTATCTTCCTCCTAGAAGGCCAACGTGTTCCAGGGGTTTTCTTTGCTTCATGTGACTAGAAACTTGGGTTCTTTTCTTTTTCCAGAATAAATACATTAAAGAAGCCTAAAGAGGCCAAACTGTTCATTAGCTGGCTTAGCTTATACTTCGATTACAGGCTCCTAATTGTAAGTTAACATTCTGAATTTTGAACAGAAGCTTGGGAGCAGAGTTCTCAGGCATGGCAAAGAGGTGATCTTTCTAAAATTATTGAAGAAGTTTTATCATTTCAGCTTGATTGCAACTTTGAGGCTTATTACAGTCTCTTATGTTAGGGATTGATATAATGGGAACAAATTGCCACAGCAATTAGCCAAGGCTTTCTTTGACATTTTGCAAATATACTGATGAATACCAGTAAGTTTTAAATGTTTTCAATTTTTATTGCACTTTGGATCTTTGCTTCAGGGCTCAAATAGCATGCATTGTTGCATTTCAAAAATTGTACTGGTTTTCTAAAAGTTTGGGTATGGTCACTTTTGACTTTGGTCTAGAATGCTAATTTCTTGGCTCTTTGTTTGGGACATCTCCCCCTATCCCCGTTTTGCTACATCTGCCTGATGGATTGAGCTAACAGGAATCTTTGACTAAGGTTCTTATTCTGCGGTGGCTCATGGACTTTGATGTGTTTAGCTTTAGAAACAGGAGACAGTTTTGTCGTTTCAGCTGGTCATCAAATATGGAGAGTTGAAGGCAGATGTGGTCCAGTCTGATTATTCATCTATTTTGACTTATCTGTACTTCTCTGCCATCCTTTTTCCTGTTCTATTTTAATAAACGGGAGATTTTATTCATTATGTTAAACTTCACCCAGTAATATCATCTGGAAATGCACGATTAGATAAAAAAAATACATGTGGGTTTATAACTTGTGGCTTTCTTTTTTGTAAGTATTGCTGATGCTAATGCTTGCATTTAAGGATGAATGATTTATGGCTGTCTGCTGGATGCTGTCCATATTGTTCAGCTCTGATTGAACATCAAAGGATCGCTGTACACATGTAGGAATAGGTGAAGTTAACTAAAACTAGAAATTCAGGTTTGTTGAGACTATAAATACACCGAGGATAAAAATATTGTGGCTTACTGTCTAGAAGGTTCATTGGATGGAAGAGTGTGTGGACTTCCACCAACCTTGTAAAAACAATGTATTTTAATTCTGAGAAACTACATTGTGTTGTAGTTTTCAGTAAACTACAGTACATTTTCCTATTTCTTGGCCTATAGTCTCCCATTCTGTGACCTGTAATAGAAGGATGTTCAGGTGGGCACTTGTGTCAGTGCAGCATTGTACTCAGTGCTCTGTGCAGTGAAATACAGCTGTTAGGTAGGTGCAGTTGCACTGCCTGATTCAGGTAGGTGGCTTGCATTCCAGTGGTATCTGGGGCCACAAGTTGCCTACCCTGATGTCAGGCATTGGTTAGAGGCGGGTGTGGTTAGTAATAGCAACCATGACATTATCTACATAAACAGGACTTGTTCCTTTCTTCCATTGCTTTAATGCTAGGCTGAGACTGCAGAGCCTGAATACTAAGAATCCATGGCTCAAGAAACCTCTGAAAGAGTATTTGTGGACTCCAACACTTCAGAGCTATGCTACAGTCTGGCTAGGAGCCTGGCTGTTGGCACAACAGTGTATTACAATAAAGTGAATACTACTGAATCATGTGTTGATAGACAACAAGGAAAAGGAACCGTGACACAAAAACTCCAGACAGTTGCAGATCACACAGTGTTGATCATCAGGAATGAAGTCAGAGGGTATTTTTAGCAGAGATGCTCTCTCTCTCTCTCTTACAGCAGTTATCACAAAAATACCAAGAAATAGTAATGGAATAACAGCTGAAAGTATAGAGTTGGCAATTTAGGCATTCCACAAATTAATGGTCATGCAAACTATAATATAAATATTCAAGTCTTTAAGGCATTGGAATAGATGCTGATGGATTCCCACATGTAGCTTTCCATGTACTCCTTAAATTTCCTCTGGAAGATTAGGGGGTAAACTGGGATTGGGGTGCAAAAGTCTGCATAGGGAGGAAAGGGAAGTCTTATTATGCAATTGATCACCTCTCCTACAATTTTGGATGTAACCCCTTTTCAAATTATGATTCATTTTAGTCTGGGCTCAAAGTAAACTAATTACCATAGCTCAATTCCTAATCTTAAATATGACTTTTCCTTCTGGAAGAAAATAAAATGTGCTGGTAAACAGAAGAGAACATATAATTCTTGCAAAAACTTGTTCCAAAAAGAATTCAGGTGTGATGTTTGGTAGCTGTATGATGTTATGATTCAGTAACCATTATTCTCAACATACTGAACTAGATGGCTATTTTCTGCCTTTTGTATGTCCTTGCCTTTAAATACTTATTTACAGTTGAATACTGAAATGTGCATTTGGGTTACCACTGGACACGCTCACCTTTCCCATTACAGGTGATAACTAGAGTGTGAAGTGATTCCACGTGCTAATTGCAGAGTGTCATGTCTCTGCTGCAGATTGCGGTTGATTTGATTGCTAGTTCCACGAAGGACTAAATTTCTGCTGTGCTTGTTAATTTAATGTCTGAGCATTTACTGGGCTGTGGTGCAAGCTTTGTAGTATCTCTTGTCATTAAGATAGCTATGTATGAATTCATGAAAAAATATAGATAAAATATCAGCAAATGCTTGGCTTAAATTTTTAAAATAATTGGGTGGATTGTCACTGTTTGATGGGAAGACAGCCTTTTAAGTAGGATGAAGAACGCTAAATTATGTTTAAGTCCTTATGTGTATGCGAAAGAGAGATCCTAATACTTTGAGCTTACCTGATATTGTCAAGGAATATGAAATACTTCGTAAATATGTATCCTTCCTTGATCAAGTCTGCTTTGTACAAGATGGAATAGACTCGATCTGCAGACATCTGCACCCATGAACAAATCATGTATGAATGAGGTGGTGAAGGGTAAAGCCAACAGCATTTTTTGTGTGTATTCTGTGTCTATATTATGCATTACAGCCTCCCTGGGCAATGGACACAGTGGATGTTGGCAGAGCAGCCACATGCTCTGGCAAATGGGTTTAATGAATCCAGTTTGCTGCCATTGTGTGTTAATGGGGGCTGTTGGTTGCTTAACACATGATTAGCCTGTGCTGTTCAGACTCACACCTTAGGAAATGACCTCTAATTAGGCTGACCAGAATAATGGCAGCACGCGAGAGGCATGCAGCCTGGCAAACTGTGGATTCATAACTCAATCCATGATTTTCTGCCATTGTGTGTAACCACGTCCAACTACAGCAACTCAGCATGTGTGTCATTTCAAACTGGAGTCGAAATAATACAAATACTTTCCAATGACAAGCAACAGTTGTCTCTCAGCAAACAGGCAAAAGGAGCTGGGGGAGGTTCGGGCTGCAAATGGCAAACATATGAATCAGGAGACAAGTGGAATTGTAAAAACAATTGGAACTTTGATGACTTCTGTGCAAGGTTGCTGCCAATTAAGTGTTAGTTCCAGAGTTTCTAGGGACCTGTGATAAAATCAAGATACTAAATTAGCATTTTTCTCCTGGCTCTTATACACAGAGTGAAGATTTCCACATATACACACAATATTGCACCAATTATCCAAGGTAGGAATGTTCTTCTTTTTTCTTGTCCTTTGCATTTAATGATTGCAAGGTGATAATTATAGAGAAATATGGCCGTAAATCTTAACCAGATGTTCATGCTATAATGTTTGTGCAAAGGTATTAAGAGGGAAGGTAAAGAAGGTAAAAAGGCTGGTGCATGGTACTTGTTTGAAATTGCGACTAAACCCAGGTTTCGACAGAAATACGGCTGGGACATGCTAGTGGTTGTGGGTCTTCTAAACTTCTGTCTAAACTTGCAAGGGTTTGCATGCTAAGCAATTTTATCATAGGCTGATCATTTACTTTGAAAATAAGAGGTTAAGAGACTTGGTAGTTTTTAAACAGAGTAAGGCTGCAACCCTATTGTAGGATTTTGTTCTGGTTAAACATGCATCAGATTGTACTCTAAACACATTATTTTCAGTGATAAACACCAAATGGTGGGAATCTATATTGAAGTATGGGCTAGAAACAAGAGCATAATAAGCAGAAGTACTGGTCCCTTGACAACGCTGTCTTGGTGACATCTGTAGCTACTTTACCTGTATCAATGCTTGTACGGTTAGGTCAGCATCCTGAGTTTGTCTCCTGTGCCAGTACATGTCTGAAAACTCTTATTTAATGCCTTTTCCTTCAGCACACATAAATCTATCCTCTTTTGCTATTCTGCAGAACATAGACCAAGAACATATCAATCAGTGCTGAAATATGCAATTATATATGAGAAAATATACTGCCTGGTTATCCAATCAGCCATCTTGTGGTAGAGGCAGAGGAGGGATTTGCCAGTCTTTCTACAAAGAAGAAGCTTTAGGGATGGGGGTGGAGATTATTTTGAGGTGATGGCACCTCGGCAGACTGACTTTCTCTCCCCCTGATCCCAATATCCCCTTTTGCCCAAATGACACTTCAGGAAGAAAGCAGTAATAGAAGAAACACTTATACATGTAGGTGGACTCACACACACTCCTTACAGTTTGAGGACTGTAATAACATTTTAATGCATTCTCTTCAGAAAAGCCATAATGCTTGAAGTGGTGATAAGCAGGCAACTTGTAGCAATGCTGATGCACACTTGCATTCAAAGTTGTGGGTTTCTGTAGAATTTGGAGACTGATTTGAATAATGGCTCTGAAAGCTCTGTTTATCTGCTTCACAGGTCAGTGGCTGTCCTAACAGAATGCATGAGGAACAAGTCCTTGGCCAAGTTTTTCCGAGAACGACAAGAAGCTTTGCAGCATTCTCTACCTTTAGGATCCTATCTTTTAAAACCTGTTCAGAGAATACTCAAGTATCACCTACTTTTGCACGTATGTTTTGCACCCATCCTTGTCTGCACGCTGCAGTTGTCTCACCCAGTGCAGGGACCGTGTTGTTCATGCTTCCCAAAAAGCAGGTTTAAGCTGGCCAATTTTATTTTAAAGGAAAAGCAGTTGCTGATGGAGTGACATTAGCCGGGGGACTTTTCCACAGTCTGGGCCAGAGGCCTGCACTGGGTTCCTGCTGAAACTGCTCACTATCATCACTCCTGCTGGCTCCCAGATGTCTTTGCTGCCAAGTGCACCTACAAGGGAAATTGTAACTCTGGAAGGATCAAAATTCTGAGGGAAGCTGGCATGGACTCTCCGTCCTGATTCTGAATGTTCTGAATCTGGCTTTGCAGTTGCTGTTTCTCCAGAAAAAACAGTGGGCAGTTTAAACTTGTTTTTTAAAAAATGTGCATATAATGAAATGTGTAGTATGGTCTTACACTGGATTTTCATAAAAATATTGATATACCTGAGATATTGATATCCCTGTTTACACCGTGCTTTCTGTCTGGTTCCAACAACAATTTTGCTTGTTTGCAATTAAATGGCTTTCCCCACAGAGAGAAATTTGTTGAAATGAATCTAAAGAGTTTCGACAGGTGATCCCAGAAGTCTCTACCAATCATGTAAAAGATCCTTGTTCAAAACAAACAAGAAGAGTTCTATGGAAAACTAACATGTCAGGATGTAGGTTTGTCCAGTGCTCCTGTATTTCTGACACTTTTTGCAAGTACTTGTGAGGGTGCCCTTCTGGCCACCTTCTCTTTATTTTACCTCCTTACTTGCTACCTACTTTTTCTTCAGCAGTTCGCTTTGTCCTTATCTGGGTGTTTGTACTCACTCTGTCCATCCATGCTTCTCCTTCCCCTTTTATTAATCCTGATTGCCCCTTTCTCAGCCTTGCTTCTCCCTTTTCTATATCTTTTCTTGTCTTTTCATCCTTTCCTCACAGTTGCTACAGCTCCTTCTCTGATGCTGTGTGATCCTAGAGATGTTTGGGTTCACTCTGAGGCTTGCTCACTAGTTCATGCAGTTTGAATCGCACCCTAAACTCCTTGCTGTGAGGCTGGAGAGGTGGCAGATCTAAGCCTCTAACAGAAAACTCAGCAAGAAGTTTAATAACACCCAAAGCAAAGCAATATACATAATGAGTAGGACATAAATGTTTCAGATGGAAGAGCTCAATCTTTCCGGCTCACTCTGAAATCCCCTTCTGTCCCTCTGTTGTTGCTTGGGGATGTTTTGCTGAAAAACCCTGCATAAAATGACATAATTCAAATTAAAAGCAGTTGCATATTTTCCCACTATAATGGTGTAGGCAGCTAGCAATAGAAATCAAATGCCATGCTTGTTTGTTTATTTGCATGCATGATAGAGGAAATGCATTTTATTTCTTTTCCCCTCTCCTCAGTGTTAACAAAATTTCCAGAAATCTGGGTTCTTTTTAATAAGTTTTTCTCATATGCTCACCATTTGATTGTAGTCTAATTACACTTCATATTCCTGAAAAGTTAATTGGTATTGTCTGTGTGCTTCCAGTATCAGCCAAGTCCAATGCTCAGTGGAATTACCTAGCTGTGGTTTTGTAGCCAAAATTAAATGTGAGAGATGTGCATTCAGATAGCAAATGACTTATGCTTTTCTCCTATTAAATGTTAATAAATTCTGCTTTGATAGTTGCTACTGTAATGCATCTGAGTGAGGCAGCTGCCTGAACACCCTTATGACTCACCAAACCACACAGTCTCAGCCAGCTTCCCAGTTTTGCTGACTGCCAGGGAGTGCGAAAGAGAGAGACTTTCGAACACCTGGCATGCCACAATGTGTGGCCCTTGTGTTGTAAGACACTGGCTTGTGCTGTCTTGCCTAGATGAGCCACAGTCACTCCTTTCGGATGAAGCAGAACTGCATTTAAATAACTTTCGATGCTGACTGAATATTTAATGATAAAGCTTTTCCAATAGTGGGGAACATTTCTTCTCTGTGCTGCTGAGATTGCAGCCTTTGTTGTAGTTCGATTTCACCCAGTTCTCCCAATAAATTGCACTTTCCAATTATGCATTCTAAGTAGGGACTATTCTTGGAAGCATGGAGCAGATGCTTTTGATCCCCATTTGGGGTTTATTTGCATGTGCTCAAAGTTTGTCAATTATCTATAAGCTTCAGGAGTGGTTTTCAGCAGAGCCACGGGGAGAGCCCACCTTCCTGCTATTTAACACACACCCTATGCACAATTCTTGTCTGGTCCTTCACTATATTGGCGTAGTTGATTGGGGCTATTGCGAGGAAATCAACCATTCCTGTCTCTGCGTGTTCAAAAATATTTCTCCCCTCTTGTAGTCGCCCTCCCATATAAAAAAAATATTTTTGCACAGCTACTCTGGGTTTTATATCCCTGACCCTGTAAAGATCAAGATAGATCCTTTCCGTGAGGAGCGAGCAATCAGTAGGAACATGGAAAGTCTTTGGCAGGGGTGACTCTTGCCCAAAGAGTTGTTTGTTGGGGGTGGGGGATGTGGCACAAAAGAAGATTCTCTCACATGCACCAACGAGGAGAATGAGGGGCTTAGTGCTGTAGAAATTGCCACTCTTTATGCCAGGTGTGTCTAACTCTGGTCTAGGGTGCTAAAATAGAAGCACTGCAGCTAAAATTAACCAAGATGCAGAACATTAATTGTAATATACCAGCCAATTATTCTTTGTGAGTCTCTAAGAATTATGAATTATTTCTTCATTTATTTCTTTACCAGGAGATAGAAAACCACCTTGACAAAGACACTGAAGGTTATGATGTTGTTTTGGACGCTATAGATACAATGCAGAGAGTGGCATGGCATATTAATGATATGAAGAGGAAACATGAACATGCTATCAGGTTGCAGGTGAGTGAAAATGCAACCCAGCCTCAAATCAATAGCATTTCATCGCTTTACCTTTTGTTTTACATGTATCATGGAATAGCATTTAAAAGCACTTTCTGCTCACACAAATTGAATTCAATCTTTCTGTATTCTGATGCATTGCAAAAAAATTTTGCTACAGCAGTTCCCAAGGAGAACAGAACCCAAATGTAAATTCTTCCTACTTGCCAGTAAATAGAGACCTTCAAATACATTCATAGTTTGGCTGGGCAATACTTATTTTGTCTAAATGATTATAAGTATGACTGCCCAATGCATCCTCAAATGCACATATCCTCTTTCTCAGTCCTTGCACACCTCTGCAGGTATTGAGAACATTCCTGGCCTTACAGTAGCTCAGTAACTGGTCTGCAGCACCATGATACAAGTGTGTGTCTTTAGTTAAAGGCACAGCTCACCAAAGCAGTCTCTCCAAATGCATTTCAAGGCCAGGACTGAGTTCTTGTGTGTTAGAAAGAAGAAAGTTCTTTTAAGCACATGCAAAGTACATTTCCCTTCCTGCCATTCTACATTCCTAGCCAGTTTGTGTGCTGCAAAATAAATGCACATTTGAAAAGTGACTCTTACAGAGAAAATATCTCAGTGTGGGAATACTATCTTGTGCAGAGTGACTCTTAAGCAGAGGCTAACTCCATCAAAACTAATGTGCATAATCTATGGTTAGCTGTACTCAGCTGATGTAGCCACAGTTTACAAACTTAAGGTAACAATTACATGAAATGGAGAGCTTCATTCATTGATACCCATGCAATAGCAGTGTCTGTTTTTAGTAGTATTTATGGCTCAACTTCACATTCTGTATTCTGTGAATTTCTGCAACTACAAAGCATTGTTACAAAGAAAGAATCCGCTTGAATGGATTTATAATATAGTGTAGAAGATTTTCTAGGGTTAACCACTGTGTCTTATTTTGAATAAAAAATCATGTAAATGTGGTTAAAAATGGCTTTAGCCTTTTACATACTGATGAATCATCATTGTGGTAGGATGTTCTTGGGTGTACTGATTAAAAAAAAAACCCAGCATTGAAGCTCATAAATTGATATGCTGCATTTTAGGACCGGCCCAGAGTTCGCAACTCCCCAGCAAACCATGGGTTCTATTTTCCATGCGTTGTTTGTGGTTAGCATTCCATAGTTAAACCATAGTGCAGGGTTTGCTGTGTAATGATCGTAGTCCTTTGGGCTATGAGGGGGCATAGAAGTGGAATTAATTAATTAAATACAGATGAACCCGCACACCTTCTAGTTGTGTGAATTGACATGTATATTTGGAATGTAACACGTAATGTGGGAGCTTCATGTCTAAGCCAGACCAGCTTCTGCGATCTCTGAGATTTGACTGAATACCACTCAAGTTGCCTTCAGTTGCTCATGTCCATAGAGATACTTGAAATATGCCTTACTGAGTGGGCATATTTCAACCAAGCAGCAAGTACACAGTTGGCTGCTTGGTTGAAAAAGAGCTCAGCTCAGCTCAGCACTGCGATTCCAAAGACCATTTGATTGCAGATGCCTCCCCCCACCCCATTTTGCCATTCCTTCCTTTCCCTTTCCCTCCACTTGCAATGTTGTTTTACTCACTGCTGTTGCCTGCTAAGCACTCATTCTTTGTTCCAGTGGCCTCACGCAGCATCCCTTGGGGACTGCATGAAATAATTGGGGGGCAGTGCAATGGGTACGTCTAAATTGGCTCTGTTTCCTAATTTGCCTCCCTGCCAATACTATGGCATTTAGAAATAGATTTCCATTTGTCCATCACAGGATGAGTGCTTTTCACTGTAACTGATGATGAAATGACTGTGGAATTGCTATTCATAAATGGCCTCTTTACATGGCCCTTGCCACACGATGATATCCTGTGAGATGGTTTGAAGTTTTTTAACATGCTTGTTGCATTTCCCTCCCACTTGCAGGAGATACAGAGCTTACTCACCAACTGGAAAGGACCAGACCTTGCTAGTTATGGGGAGCTGGTTTTGGAAGGAACATTCCGCATCCAGAGAGCCAAAAATGAGCGTACTTTGTTCCTCTTTGATAAACTTCTCCTGATTACGAAGAAGAGAGAAGAGATGTTTACCTACAAAGCTCATATACTGGTATGTCAGACTGAACACTGTGTGGGAATTGGCAGTCCATGTGCTTCAAGGAAGAAGAAATGGGATATTTCTAAACCAGCAAAATAGAAAAAACGTTTAATCAAGATGCCAGATTTTCTTTAATGCTCTTCCTCTGATTGACAAATGCTTCTTTCTGTTGCAGTGTGGCAATCTCATGCTGGTGGAAGTAATACCAAAGGAACCTCTTAGCTTTAGTGTCTTCCACTACAAAAATCCGAAGATGCAACATACTGTTCAGGTACTTCAATGTGACAATACAGTGAATGCATTGTGAAGCATGCCATTATAGGATTGTTTTTCTTTATATGTTATACCATGAACTGTCACTGCAGTTTCTATCCCTCTATTCCAAGGTTTTGAGCAGGAAAGTATGTTTCTGTTTTCTTTTCTTTTGGCCCTTGCTGCCATTTTGGAGAAAAATACAGTCATACAGAATGAATTGGCATTACTTTTAAAATACTGAGTTGTGTTTTATTCCCTCTTAGACACATGGAAATGTTCGTATTTAGAAAGCTGTTCTTGTGTCTGAAACTGATGTTGATGTTTTGGAAATCCATTATTTCATTTCATTCTGAATCCATAGGTCAGTTTAAAGGTCTGAAAAACTTCTGTAACTTAGAGAATAAAATAATTGATGGAATTGGATTTGGAGAATGTGGAGAACAGGACTTTTTTTCCCTTACACTCTAAGGCAATATCAAATGCTATTTGCTTTATAGGTTACCGTGACTGAATAATTACTATTTAAACATGGCTTCATATCACACAGTGTTTTGTGTTATAAGTTTGCTACCCATCATTTCAAGTAGTGATTGGAATTGTCTCTGTAAGCAGATCTATTCAGAAATATTACTGCGTAGTTTAAAGATTTATACCCCACCTTTCAGTCAAATTGTTCTCAGCTCTCCCCGCTTCGCACAGCATGCTGTATTGGTTATGCAAAACTAATTATGTGCTCTTCTATAGCTTCATATGTTCAAAGGGGCAGTATAAGTACCTTGTGAAGAGAGAAAGAGGGATAGAGGAATAGCTTTTCCCAGAAAGCAACTGGGTCATGCAAATATAGAGACTTATTATTAAAATGTATTAAAATACTCAGCCTGTTTCCATGTTAGGTATGCTTTGGAGTGTTATAATTTTGTCAAATGTGTTAAATGGTTGTGAGCTACCCTGCATTGCATTTTTGGCAGTAGAAAAGCAGTATAGGAAGTACAGAAGTTAATAGAGATAGAATAAGAATGATGATAAAATATAATAGCAATACCTTCTGGTGATTGGAAGAGTCAAGGGAATTCTAGCTTTGTTTCAGGGAAGCACTGTTCTTTCACTAGGAGTCAGAGCCTGCTTAACACTCAACCAAATGATTCTGCTGGATTTCCCCACTGCATTTTGTTCTTTGTTCATCATATCTTTAGCCATAACCTTTTTGTATTGTCATTTTACAACAGGCTAAATCACAGCAAGAGAAGCGTCTTTGGATTCTTCACTTGAAAAGATTAATTCTAGAAAACCACCCTGCCAAAATCCCAGCTAAGGTAAAATATTAACAACTTTGATTTTGGAGTATTGACTTTTCTCTAGTGAGATGCATCTGTGTAGCCATATCATGACAAATGTGGAGTGCATTGCACAAATCAACCTTATCTTTCAGGTTGCATGTGAGTATTCTTGCAACTCAGTCTGCCTTTTTCTGTCCTCTTGCTGTGAATGAAACAGGAATTATCACACTGACAATACGAACAAAGGAAGAATAGAAGAAGATAAGAAGATGCCTTATACTGGCTTGTTCACATGATCATGATGGGGAAAATAAACCATGGAGCCTTGTTTCCTTGGCTGTGCATGCCAGCAAAATTGACTGAATAACACTTTCCAGGGCAGATTGCTGCACCGTGCGAGCCAGGACAGTGGGGCTTGATAGATTTGAGCCCTCAGATAACCCAACAACAGCCCATGGGTTATTTAAGAGCTGCTGCTGGGTAAATAAGACACCCAGTATATGGGTGTGTCTCTCTCGCTCACTCCCTGTTAGCTATACTGGGGATGGTCAACATGTCTTCTCCCAGATGCTGTGGCCTGCAACTCTCAGCATCCCTCACTAGTTAGGGCTGATGGGAGTGGTTGGCCAAAACTTCAGAAGGAATGCCAGCTATTCAATGCTGTGTCAGATGCAAAGAGCTGCAACTTCATCAAACGCCTCTCCAGGCCTGTCACATCACAGCAGGGACTCCGACTTCTACAAATTCTTCCTTAAGCAATCTTTAGAATGTTTCCAAGTTAAGAGCTTGTAGTATTTCTATCCTGCTTTTTCTATTCTGAAAGAATACTATTAGTTAATAAAATAAAGTAGTAAATTGGTGCTATCTTCAGTAGTACTGCAAAGATTCAAATGCATTGTGGCACTAGTTGTGAGCACCAGTCTGCTCCAGGATGGAGAACCTGTAGTCCCTTAGCTATAGTTAAGGCTGTCCCGCCATCAGCCCTGGCTGATGGCCAAGTTGGCTGGAGCTGATAGGAGTTTAAGTCTCATAACATCTAGAGGACCAGGGGCTGCCCACTCCTAGCCTACTCTATACTCTCACAAATTCAAGATCTAATTTTTGCAAGAGAAAATGCTTTCAGTGATGAGAAGTGGGAAAAACAAGTAAACATTTTTATGAAGCTGCTGCAGCACAATATTGACAGGCAAGGGCAGTCGATCTTTTCATGTCTTCAATCTTCTCAAGGGCATGAGCAGCACTTGTGCTGAGCTAACATCCCACTCAGGCAGGCTTATTGTACAGAATATTGGCATTGCTTTCTTAGATAATAAATATTTGTATGTATTCTTTGATTTTTTTCATAATATGCTATTTTTAGAGAAGAGCAGTTGCCTTTGTTTGGCCCTGTAGACTCATTTATTCAAAATGTGTCTCGTTGAATTAGGTACCACTGAAAGCAATCGGACTCGCATGCACTCGCTGGGCTGCACATATAAAGCCCTTGCACAGGCAAAAGCTTTCTTGCATCTCTGTTGGTGACTGTATTGCTAGCAAGCCCCTCTCCCCACATATATATTGCAATAAACCCAGAACATTAGACTGGATTGAATGCAGAGGAGGCCTGGCTGCTTTCAGTGAGACAACAGATGCTGTCCATGTTTAGCAGTGATCCAGCCCATAATTGTCTGTACTTAGATTTAAGCACTTTTGAGGAAGCACCGTCTCTCCCACATGCAATCCTGGAACAGAACCCTTCTGTCAGGGCTGGACCAAGGAGCTGGATTCTTTCTGTGTGCCCTGAATCCTTTTTATGGATATAACAATAATGCTGACTAGTAGAAGTGAGAGTTGTGCATAGGACTTACAGTGAAACTATGTATTATAAAGCAAATTTAAGGTTACCAGTTTTGTTTTCTGGATAATGCTACTGTAGGAGCAGGGAGCATTGGCTGGGAAGAATTGAGGTAAACGCAAGTGGGCAGCACTTAAAAGTATTTTGCAGCTAATTTTTTTTCACAGCAAATGCCTCTCAGACTGTTCTTAACCTATATTTTTGTTTTATTCGGGAAATAAGTCTGGCTAGTGGAAAAATGGTACTGAGAAGGTGCTTATTTTGGGAGGGGGAAGTGCCCATCTGCCATTTCTATTTTATAAATCCTCCTTGCATTCACATTTTCGTAACAAACACTGCTTTTGGGACACAAAGGTTTGTCAAGATTCTACCCAGTGTCAAAGATAAATGGGCACATGTATTAGATCTATGTAATTCATGCTATTTGTCTTCTATTGTTTTTTTTTAGGCCAAGCAAGCAATTCTTGAAATGGATGCTATCTGTAAGTATGTTTTGTTTAAATAATTTGCTTTCTTATTTTTTTGAAATTGGTGAAAGTAAATAGTGTGAAGGAAAAATATGTAGTAGCCAACAGGATATAGAAATATTAGTTGTCCCAAATATGAGTGATTGATTCCATAAAGGAAACCACGGCCTCGAAATGCTGAGCAGGAATGTCAAGGACAGGACAATTTGGAGGAGATTCACTCATACGGCCACCATGAGTCAGGCACTACTTGATGCGACAAGACACCAACAATATTGGCCACCATGCTCTCTATTGCTATTTCATCTATCGCAGGCTGAAACTTCCGTTTGCCAGCTTTATACAATACTGCATATATGCGTTCTGAATTATTCTTATTTCCATACATTAAAAAATCAAACCTCAATATCCTATACTTGTTTGTCAGCAACTGTGTAAATAAGCACTGGTGGCCAATTAGGATCCTTACTGCTGGTATCAGTTTTATTCAGTAACATAAACACTCTGAATAATATGAATAATGCAAAATAACGAATACTAATTTGCCAATGGAACAAAGACTGTCCAATAGTTCAGATGCTTTTTAATCACTCATGCCACTATAGAATGGTTATATCCATTGTGGTACACTGGTCTGCAAAAAAGAGTTCGTTCATGCTAGAGAGGCTGTGTGTTAGAGCTATTTTTTCACATATCAAAACCATTAGAAAAGGTTTTTTCCCTCCCCACCCTTTAATTACATCCCGTTTTCCAGTGGCACAGTGCACAGTCTCTACTGCTGTTTGACTCTTCCACTGTCGTATTTTGTCAACATGCTCAGTAGTGCTATTATCATGTTATTGTATCACTTTGAAACTGAAGTGAAATTATTTTTTAACCCTATTAAATGAATTTTTGACCTTGTCATTATTGAGATTTAGTAAAATTATGTGATAGGCAGTTTTGGCTCTATATGCCAAAACTCTCCCACACTAGAGACATTCCAAAAGAAACTGGACAGCCATCTGAGTGGGATGGTGTAACGTGGTGTCCTGCAACAGCAGGGGGTTAGACCCGATGGCCTTCATGGCCCCTTCCAACTCTACTATCTATGCTTCTATTTACACGCAGATGAATCTTTTATACTGCAGGAATGTTTTGACAGGGGCATCTCTCTCTTACGCCCAAAATGGGTGTAGGAGAGAGAGAAGGAGCTGGCTTCACCCTGTGGAATAAGGTCTGATCCTGCCTGTGGTTTTGGCCATGGTGTTCCCTTGTGTGGTATTCTCTATTTCCCTGCATGAGTGAATGACAGCCATAGGGTGGACCAAAGCTATCTATTAGGTCGTGGCAATAAAAGTTTCTTCTGTGGTTGTACCAAAGGTCATGCTGAATAGCATAGAATAGCATATTAGATAATCTAGCGTGGTTATATTAGTTCATCAGTAATATTACTTAGTCAATAAGTTGCCACATGCCTCTTCTATTCTTGTGAGTCATTTACTTAGCTGAGATACACACTTCTGGAACATCAGCACCCAAGCCAGGTAGTAAGTTTGCTTTAGTGCTTGGGCCACACTTGGCAAAGCCATTCAGTAATATGACAGAAAACCAAGGAGTGCTCTTGGACACAGTGAGAAAGCAAGCTGGACCTATTCTCAAGTGTCCCTAGCCATTAAAAACCAACCCTGCTACTGTCTGTAGGACCATTATTTTATATCTCGGTCATACTTTAGGAAAATACATAACTCCAATCCTAAGATGCTCCTCCATATGTTAAAGGAAACTTAAACAATAGTTCTCTGATTTGTTTCTAGACCACCCAGGTTTTCACTATAGCCCAGAAGGAGAAATAAAAGCATCAAGTTTTTCTAAACAAGGGATCACCCCACAGAGGATGAGAAGGAAATCAGGTAATATCTTGGTGGCATTAAAAAAAGAACCTCCTCAAATCAATTTTTTAAGTTTTCCACAATGTTTGTGGATGATAAATATAATTAGGTTTAAAGAAGTTTATGTGAAAGGGGTATTAGATAGTGTATTAATTAGATACAGATTTAAAACTAAATCTAGAAATCAGTATTGGGCTTTTCATTCAAATCTTGTTAAGCAATCCAAATAATGTTAGAATAACACTAGAAAAGGTAATTTTTGCATAGAATAGAATATATTAATGGTTAGGACAGTTATCTATATTACACAGTTATCTGTGCTGGCTACTATTCTTATTTGTTGGTTTAAATATGTTGTTATTTTTATAATATTTGTTTTATAATAGGTCACATGATGGTATAGCTATATTAAATAAATGCGTTTTCTCTCTAGAACCTTCATCCAGAACTCATAAAATTATAAAACCAAGTGGTGAGTATCCTCATATGTAATATATTTTATTAATCTCCATTCCATAGAAAACTCATGCTACTTCTGTAGCAAACATTTTCAGAAACCTGGTGTAAACAAATGGCAACCTTCAAAATGAGAGTGAGAATATTACAGGTTCTCCAGACACTTGTCATTACAGTATATCCAAGAAAGACTATGAAAGGAAGCTGTAGCATGAAACCACTGAATGAGAATTTGAGAATTTTATTTAGTTGAATTCCTATTCAGGCAAAATATTTATTTTTTTATTTTTATTTTTCGATTTATATCCTACCTTTTTCCTACAAAGGGCTCATGGCAGCTTACATCATTCTCCTCCTCATCCTATCCCCACAACAACAACCTTGTGAGGAAGGTTGGGCTGAGAGTTTGTGACTGTCCCATAGTCACCCAGTTGGCTCCATGGCTGAGCGGGGACTTGAATCCAGATCGCCTGAGTCCCAGTCCTATGCTCTTAACCACTGCACCACACTGGCTCTCTAATAATATAATATTTAGTGGGATTCAATCTATAATTGCAATAACAGCCACTTACATTTTAGAAAAGGTGTAAAAATGAGCATAGTAATGTTGAACACTATTGCTAAAATTAGTAAGCATTATTACCAGTGACCATTCTTGGTACTGGTTCATTCTTAATATACATTTGGCTGTACATAGACATGTGAAAGATAATCCTATGGTTCCCTTGCACCTCATGGCGTTTTGGCTCCATAGTTTGCAAACTTTTTTCTCTGTGCTCATCTGTATTTGCTGTTAACTTGGCTAAAGTGCTTCTCTCTACTTGCTCTTAACTGGTGGAAGTGGATTTAATCCATCAAAACTGCTGCAATCAAAAATAAAACCCATATCGTTTTGTTTAAAGAATAAGGGAAGCAAAAAACAAGAGAGACTGCAACTGGTCATTGAATGTAGACATTTTGTTAAGATGCAGCCACGTCACTGGTTCTGTTTGCCTCTTGGTGATAATCTTGCCCCCTTTCTCTCTCGCAGTTATTGGAAAAGGATGAATAGCATCCTTCACTGGCTCTTTCTGCCCCTTTCTGAGTCCCTTCTTACTCCCAAAGATGGAGCAGTTTCTTACTGAGAAAAAGGTCATACATAAGTGTCTATGCTTTTGACTCAGTCCCTGTTGAGGCCACTAAATGCTCACTAGATTGCCATAGGAAAATGTGGAGCTCCAGCTCTGACCTCAGGAAAGCACTCAGAAGTCGGAGCTGAGGCCCTGAAATCAGCATGTTTCCTCTCCATCCTTGACGCTGGGGCAGCTTGTTTCTGTGCCTCTTCAGGGCCAGGGTGGGGAAGGAGTGAGGCTTTGCGGGAATGAGGAATCTCAGCGGGGCCTCCAGCTCCTCCTCCTCAGTGGTCATCAGCCACTCGCCACTGAGCTGATGTGGTGCAGTGGTTAAGAGCAGGGGTCTGGGACTTGGGCATCTGGGTGCTAGCCCTGCTCAGCCATGGAATCAACTGGATGACTCTGGGCCAGTCACAGACTCTCAGCCTGACCTACCTCACAGGGTTGTTGCTGTGGGAATAAGATTGAGAAAGCAGGAGGAGAAGAACGATGCAAGTCTCCTTGAATTCTTTAAAAGAGAAAAAGCCATGATATGCATCTAATAAACAAACAAATAAATAAAAATACATGTGTTGGAGGGTGGAGGAAAGCAAGATTGTCTCCTTGCTTGCAAGGAGGAGGGGCTGAGGCTGCCTTTCTTTGGATTCCCATAGTCTTCAGAGTTTTCAGGGTTACGAGCCACCACATTGGACGAGCCCTTAATTATCCTTTGTTATCACTGACTCTCCAACATTATCAAGTGATTTTTCAATACTTAGCATTGTTTGTATTTTTCTTCATTTCAGAAATGGATTCAGACATGCAAAAGGTAAACTATATACAATATACAATGATTGAATTACATTGAATGCTTTGACTTCATCTTGCTGCAGGAAACTTGACACTGTGAACCTATAACACTTAATCTTACAAACGCTTTTCTCCACCAGCTATTTCCCCTAATAGAGGTGGTGGGGACAGTGGTGGACTAGCTTGCTTTACTTCCACAAAGTTGGCGGTAACCACAACAGCTGCTAACCCATTAAGTTCTGTTACAACCGCTGTTTATGTTATTTTCCTGAAAACTTATCTCATGCTGGTCAATGTCTATATATCACCCTGTTCAAAAAAAAAAAAAAAAAAAAAATCACTGTTAATTGCTAATTGGGTAGAATTTGAGAATTATATTGACTCTCCTCAACTGTCAGATCCTGATACAGTACTTAACATTGGTGGAGATTTCAACGCTGTTGATGATGTGAGCTTGTATAACCATTATGAACAAATTCTGGAGTCAGATGTTTTCCCAGTATGTGGTTTCTCTCAGTATTCCAAGGATATTAGATACAATTATCTAGTGTTCTGCTTAGTCCAGTTTGTAAAAAGGAGAGATTTGATTGTTTTAAATGGTACAGCAAAGGGTGATTGGCCTAGAGAATATAGCCATTTCACTGGTTTTAGAGATAGTATGATCAATTATGCCACAATATCTCACGTTGTGTATAAGTACATCACTAAGTCTGAGGTTGGTTTTAATATAGAAAGTGGTCATCTTCCTTTAACAATGATACTAGCATGGCCCGAACATAACCGATCTTATCCAAAAACCCAACACATCTCTAATGCCAATCTAGTGTAACTACTGGCAGAAGAATTAAGTGGACACCAGCTGTGATTTGCAATAATTTGCATAATTCTACATATGGAGGACCTATTAGCCATCCATGCTGCGATCTTACTACTTCTGTGTCTGAGGCCATAGATCTATATAATACTATGACTGATAGATTGCACTACCAATTGAGATTTAATAGGAAGAATAATGACTCAAGCATCTTATAGCTGGTTTGAAAATGAGTGTAAACAAGCCAAAAGACAGCTGGTAAGACCCAATTTAAATAGAGGTATTCCAATTGCGGCCTTTTGACTAATGAATATGTTTCCCTTAGACACAAGTATAAACTTCTGATAAAAGGAAAAAAAAACTAGCTGAGAAACAAGCATGACACATGTTGTAAAGGCTTCTCATTATGGGAATACCTACCTATTTTGGTGTATAATAGCAGGTTTGCGAGGAAATGGTTGCATGGTCCCGCTATGCACTATTGGACCTAATGAGTGGATGCAGTATTATTGCTTACTGTATCAGAGGCCTGATGAGGATACCACCCAGTTTATGGAAGCTCTAGGAAACTTACCAGAGTGGCCACCAGTAAAACTGGTTGAGGTTAAGAACCTTATTCTTCAGCTAAAAAGTAACAAAGCACCAGGCATTGATTTTTTGCCTTGAGAAATTCTGAAATCCTATATTGATTGATGAGTCCCCCTCCTGGCAGTTTTATTCACATGGATTGATTCAACATGGAAACTGCTTGGAATACTGCGTTAGCTGTTCCCATATTTTAAAAAGGCCTCACATTGGATCCAGCAAATTATTGCCCAATTAGTTTGCTATGTATAAATGTAATAAATTATATGCAAGACATCTTTATTACAAGCTAATTGACTGGATAACTGATGAAAATATGCAGGCAGATGAGCAAGCAGGATTCAGACTTGGTAGATCCATGGTAGAGCGCTGCTTTGTGCTAGCTAATTTAATTGATAAATATTCAGGGAGACCAGGTGGTGCTCCCTGGAGCTCCCTGGTATGGAGCTTTTATCAGTCTGAGGAATGCATTTGACTAAATTTCCCATACTAGGCTCTGGGACAAATTAAATCTTCTAACTATAGACAACTATAATCTCTTTTTGATTATATGCTTATATAACAACACTTGGCTGAAGTTGTGTTGTACGGACAACTCACTGGATCTGTGCTTTGCACAAAGGCAGTCAAACAAGGCTGTGTCCTGGCTCCTGCATTATTTAATCTATATATAAACAACATAGTTAAGAACCTAAAATACATATAAAGAGTTCTTACATTTAGAATAGAAAATAGCATTAATACTTCCTGTCTTTGCCTGCCACCTGGTGGCTTTCATGGTCTTAGTAGACTTTCTGTTCTGCTTTGGAGTACATCTGGAAATCTCTACAGGAAAGGCAGAAATCTTTTTTGATGCCTGAGGTAGAAAATCCAAGAAGATTTCTCTCTCTCTCTCCCCATCTCCCTCTCTTTCTCTCACACACGGCAACAACCCAGCTAAGATGTTTTCCTATGCAGGCACCATTAACATGAAAGGAAATATGCAAGAATGGGTGGAGATAGAATGTAGATGGGTCAGGTATGTCTTATTTCCAAGTCTGTCATCCATTCTATCATGCTGGTTTTAAGCGCACAAGACAAAACGATGGGCATTAGAACCGGCGGCTAGGAAGCAATGCAATTATAGATTCTCCAGCTGCCTTTAAGTTCTGACATTTTACTAGACATGGTCTCTTCAGAGCCCTACTAAGCCACATTTTTCCTATACCTATGCATTACTTTCTGAGAAATGCAGGCTCAGGTTTTTAATCTTTTTGGAAATTGGCCATGACTTCAATGTTTTAGACATATACTACAAAACACTGAAGAATGTTACAATCAATGTTACATTCGATTTCATCAATGTAAAAATCAAATTAAAGCAATGAACTCACATGCCATCCAATGGATAAAGGCAAAGAGAGTAAACATTTTAATTTAGTTTAAAAATTTATGTATGTCTCCTAAATAATGGAAATGAGCTAGCAGGAAAAAGGACAGATATGTTCATATTGGATAGTGAAGCAGTTATGAAGGAGAAATTAGTAAACAAAGCTGTCTAGATGCTTGGAAGGAGCAATGGCACAAATTCATGACTTAAAAAGGCACAATAGTACCAACTTGAGTACAGCAGAGGGGACAAGAATAATGGCAAAGACAAATGTGATAGACAGGCTTTATACAGAAATGTAAGTTGTATGAATGAGTGTTTGAGAAAGATGATTTAATACAGATTAACAGAATAGAATAGAAACAGAATATATCATGTGTTCAGTGTATCAACCTCCTCTTGTCCATAAAGAATCTCCTGAAAAAAATGGGTAATTTAGATATGCCTTGAATTGTGATAGGAGGGACCTGATCACCTTGATAATGCTACATTGGTAGACAATAATAATGCTACATTTCATTGATAAATGGAATGCTTACTTTACATTATATTATATTAATATCCATTCGTCTCCCATTCACAGCGGATCAGCATTGAAGGAGCCTTGCTGTCTCAGGCTGAATCTCTCCTAAGCCCCAGGAAGACACTTTCCTTGAATCACAAAGGGCTAGACTCCAGTGAAGTAGCCTACAGTAGTGATCGAGAGGATAATGCCATCACAGGTGGTGCAGATCAGACTGATGCTGATGATGAAGAAGAGACGGAACAGGTAACCTCCTTGTTTTATTTGAGAGAAATATCTGTATGTGATCTATAAATGCATAACTGTGTCCCGACGGGAATGTCAAGTATAGGTAAATAGTATTTTTGTTATAGTTATCTATACTCCAGTTTATGATTAATATCTTCACTTTGACAGATGCGCTGAGTAATTATTTCTAAACTTCAGTATCCAAGTGTAGTTAGTCATTCAAAGCACATAGTAGGAACTTCCAGGACTTGCCACTGGTCTTTCTGCTCTCTGCTAAATGACCACCCTCCCAAGTTTGCTCCAGAATTCTCTTCCACTACTGCACTAGGAGCAAATGCCTTTCACAAGGGGCAAAGGACTTCTCTGGAAAGCACTTCCTGTTGCTCCCTGAAACGTTGTGATGAGACGAGGTGATGAGAATGTGGAGGCAAGCAGATGGTGAACACAGGATAATGTTTGAGAAAGAGCAAGGGGGTGGGAAGAGTGAGACAAAGAAAGGTTAAGGAAGATGGAACAAGGAAGGGGAAAGAAGAGATTTGTTGTTGTTCAGTTGCAAAATCATACCCGACTCTTCATGGCCTCACGGACAATATTCTTCCAGGTTTTCCTGTCCTCCACCATCCCCTGGAGTACACCCAAGCCCACACCCACCTCTCCAGTGACCCCATCCAGCCACTTCAGTCTCTGCCATCTCCTTCTCCTTTTGCCTTCAATCGTTCCCAGCATCAGGGTCTTTTCCAATGAGTCCTTCCTTCTCATTAGGTGGCCAAAGTATTTGAGTTTCATCTTCAGTATCTGGCCTTCCAAAGAGCAGTCAGGGTTGATGTGGGACAGAAAAGGGGAAGGCTTGCCTTCACCCTTTCACTGTGCCACCTCCATCCTACCAAAAATCATTGCACATCAACACTTGTGTATAATTATACATAACTGTCATTTTTATATAAATATCGAAAGTCTTAAAACATTTTCAAAGGCAGCCCATGTATAACATATTGCAGTAATCCAAATGGGGTTACTGGAACGTGAACAGCTTGCAAGACTATCTCTGTCCACATGGGGTCATAATTGGTGCACTGAATTAGGCTGTGAAGAAATAACCCTTTCTCACTGGGGCAATGCCACTGAAACGGACACAAAATGGAGATACGCCATGTAGATTTGCCCACATTCATGTCTACTACTACCATAAATCAATACTCATTCATTTAAAAGGTTCCCATTATATAATGTCATTGGCCATGAAACAAACATCAGAGGTACATGTATAAGTAGTATTTTATTAAAGGAAATGGAATAAGAAAGTTGAAAATTTGTGGATACTTTACAAAGAAGAAGTTTATGTTGATACTTTTACTGCCAGTCCAGACTATGGAAGCTATTATTCCTTGCCCTAAGCCAATTCCCCTATCAAACTCCACTGCAGTAAGCGCTTGATATTTCAGTAAGGTTTGATGTCTGCTTGGGATGGATGGTTTATTAAACTTCTCTTGAAGTCTTCAATCTGGTTGGTAGATGCTCTGCCGTCATACCTCCACCAATTGATACCTAGGCTTTGATTCTTCCTGAAGGCTGGTTTTTGAATCTTTCTCACCACACTTGCCGGCCTCCTGATGCTCTGCCTGCTTCCAGCTTGATTTCCCAGTCTAGGTGCTGTGGTGCTGTCTTCCTCAGGCTCTCAGTCTTCCCTGAAGACACTCTTCTATTGATAGGTGAATCTCTTCCAAGCAAAACTCAGACAAAACTCTGTAAGATGCCTTTCAACAAATCCTTCCGTTTGCTGCTGGCAGAACCTTCCAGCCAATCAGCTTTGGTGTGACCAGCATTCTGTCATACTACTCCTGTTGCAGGTCAGAGCTAAAAGCCATCTTTAGACTAGCTATCTTCCAATCAAATGGTACCAAACTCTATTCAGCCATACTCTAAATAAGAAATACGGCCTGATTTTAACAGCAATAGTAACTGTTTGTTCAGCCCTTATGTCTTGATACTGAAACCAAGCATAACAGTTCAGCATATTAAACCTTTTGCTCACAAAAAAGTCAGTTGTATACATCTCAGGCTGATAAAAGACACTCTGAGCCACCTTTAGAAACAGTGATGGATCTAAGAATGCCCTTGAACTGGGCATGCCTTTAGGACAGGGATAAGGAATTGCTGTGCCAAGGAAGCAATTCCCCATCCAACCCTTGGAGGCTTTGTGTACAAGGTAAACATTACCTTGCTGGAAACACAAAGCACCCCAAAATAATATCTCCATCTTGTCTTGATTGAGAGTCCATGTTCAGGAACACATCCATTGTGTTCCTTGCCCAAGCACTGGTTCAGAACTTCAACTACTTTACCTGCATTAGATGAAAGAAGAGGAAGAGTCGGGTATTATCCATGTATCGGTTACACCTGAGCCCATAACTCTGCATAACTTGGTCAGGATGCTGGAAAACATGGAGGCATAAAATAGAACCCTGTGGACCTTTCTGGTACATTCATTAATAATGTTTCCAGGATGCTCTTCCTAGAGTCCGCCATCTACCTTGTAACAGGCAAATTCACTGTCTTCTGTGACAAAAGTCACATGTTCTTAATGTTTTCTGACTTCAGTTCAGCTTAAGAAATGCCATGAAAGAGTCTTTTCCACTGCAGATTATAATACAATTATCTACTTGTTGTTTTTCAGACTTAGCTTTGACTGCCCTTTCTATTTAAAGTACTGTGCGTCATAGTCTAACAGTTTCTCTTTTCTGCAGAGCATACAACAAAATTCACAGCAGAAACCAAAAGGAGGCCGCAAAAGACTAAATAGTCAAGTTGCTGAAAACTTTGAGAAACGAAGAAGTGTTAATCTCAGCAAATATGAAATTCAGGTATTTCAAAAGCTATATGATCCTTGAGTATCCTTATTTATGACATGTCAACTGGATGAGGTGATAAAATGCAAAGAAATAAAACAAACATTGGATGCAAGACAAGACCTAATAAAAAGGGAGGCAAGAAGCTTTCTGTATCATTCCACATGCATAACCCTATCCCAACTATTCCTTAAGGTATAGAGGATTAACTAGTCTCCTAACTACTGATGTGGAAAAAGATTGGTGATGGAGTCTTGACAGTGTAGCTAATGCTATAAGTAAAGTGGGAAGTTGATTAAGGTGTGTATCTACCCTTGCACGGGTCTTGATTCTACTCAGATAACAAATTTCATTGTGGTAGCTAAGATGACTCACCGGCAGTCCACTGCATGGTCAACTGGAAAACAGGCTTGGAAAGGAGCCTTGCAGGCAAAAGTTTCAGAAGAGCCCAGGGTATTCAGATAGTCAGGAATACTGCAGGAAATAAGGAACCCAGCAGGCAAAAGAGTTAGACTAGTCTTGCAGATACTGCAGGGTTAGTAAAATAGGGTCCCATACAGCTAGCCAACAACAGATGGCAGACAAGGGACAGGATCCTTGGCACTTTAACATATAACATTTATGTACTGCCTTTTATCGAAGACCTCAGTTCAGTTTACAAAATTAAAAAATGAATGAAACAACAATAAACAATACAAACAAACCAAGTAGTAAATAAACATACAATGAATATGGTTTACATTATTTATGGTGTATTATTACTACTACTATTAATACCTGTTGAATGAAAACATTGGTGCTTAAAGGGCAGCACTGTTGACATCAATTGTACCCCCACAGGGAGGGCAGTTGATAACTGAAGCGCTAGTTACAAAAAGCCATTCTCTCCTGTACATATAACTCTCAGCTCTGATGATGATTTATTGAAGAAGGGCATTTACTTAATAATCTTAGCATTGGAAGTTGCTATGGAAAGAGGTGTTCACATTGATTAATGAAAGTCAGATGAAACTCCCTCTCACATTTCTGTAATTGTATTTTGTAGGCCAGTAATTCCCACACTCTGTGCTAGAATACATATTGGTTAAACAAATGTTTTGGTGTGGAATGCTCTTACTCAGCCACAACCTTTTCTAGGTTATTCTGTTCCATTTCCTGCTATGTTCTGTTCAGTCTCCACACCCACCACCCCACATTCTGTCAGCGTTCTGTGCCCTCGCAACAACCTCTGTCCTCATTCTGCTGTTTCTCCCTGATGCTTCTGTGCACACACACCCATTGTAATTCTGGTACCTTCAGATTTACAGACACCTCCCTGTTATGCATGGCTGATGCACTATAACTATATAAGGACCTGCCCTTGGAGAATTAAGAATTTAAGGTTTATTAGCATGTATGGTGATGATTCTGCATGTAGGTTAGACTGTAGGAGTAACATCTTGCTGTATTTCAAATCTTCACAGAACTCCAAAGAGCTTGCAGATGAAGCATCTTCCCAAGTGAGCACGAAGCTTCCATTTCCCAGTGGCGGAGGTGGTCAGCCATCTCAGCAGTTTGCAATGCAAAATGGCTCATTCATGATGAATATTTTGGGCAGAACAAATGCTGTGAGAAACATCTGGACAGACCATCAGATCCGACAAGCTTTGTTCCCGAGCAGGCGACCTCTGCAAGAGAATGTAGAAGATGAAGATGATTACCAAATGTTTGTGCCATCAGAGTCTACATCCAATTTAGCTTCTATGGCTAATGAAGAGAGGGTCCCATCAGGCCGCCCTTGCAGCTGGCATGTAGGAATTGGTCATCCAACTGATGTTTCCAGTTCTAACTCTCACAGAATAGTGAGGCGAGCCAGCAGTGCTGGCGAAAGTAAAACTTCTCCATGTGGTTCAAGATACAGAAAAAATGATATTAGTCAAAATGTTTCTTGGAATGAAATGAAAAACTCTCAGAGCAATATGGACAATCTGCAGGTGTACCCAGAATCTTCAGAAGAACTGACTATTGATGACATAGATCATGTGTATGACAATATAAGTTTTGAAGATTTGAAATTAATGGGTCTCGCTCGAAGGGATGAGACAGACCGTGCCCCACAAGGGTCAGCTAGAGACTCACTCTATGAGACTCAAGATCAAGAAGTGACTTTCAAGAAAAAACAAGGATCTCATAGCAGGACTTCCATGCTGGACAAGAATGAAACTATTCCCAGGAGGGGCACTTCTCCTGCAAGCTCTCTTGATCTAAGGGTCAGTGAGGAGAATGTTTATGATACAATAGCCCTCCCAGAGCAATCATTGCTGAATTGCAAGTGTCATAATCTTAAGTGTTCCAAAAAGAGAACTTTCCTGGGTCTTGAAACAGATTTTGCATGTTGTGACCACCTCCGGAAATTTGTTTCTGAAGAAAGCCTTCAATTCAGTGAAGATGAAAATCCATATCATTATGTTCCAGTAGATCATGAATATTTGCGCTTAGCAGATAGCTCCTCAAACTCTGATTCACATTCTCACAAGTCTGCTGCAGATAAGTTATCAGAGGAAGTAGATGAAATCTGGAATGACTTAGAGAATTACATCAAGAAGAATGAAGAAAAGACCCGAGATCATGTCCTTGCAGCTTTTCCTGTCTGCAAAGATGATATAGACAATAACTCCTCTAGTGGAACAACTTGTGAATTAAATAAAGATGTGGAATATTCTCTCTCTACTCTCTCCCTGCCACAAACACCTGTTTTCCCCAAAACTCTGCCCAACAAGGTAGCCAGGTTAAGTGAAGCCAACCTTAAGTATGAAGAAGCAGCCTCATGTAAAGCAAGTTCACTGGTGAATCTCAACAGAACTTCAGTTTCCAACGAGATGGCTTTTGTAGACAGCCTTTATGAATCAGCCAGTAGCATTCTGTGTGGTGCAAATACAGAGAGTGCTGACAACGAATTGGATACTGTGGATAAAACTAAAAACCGGGTCTTTATGATGGCAAGACAGTACAGCCAAAAAATTAAGAAGGCAAATCAGCTCTTGAAAGCAAAAAGCCCAGAGCAAGAGCAATTTCTGAATCGGCAACAGAAATCAAGGCACAAGGATTTAGCAGCCATTTTGGAAGAGAAGAAGCAAGGCGGTCCTGCCATTGGTATGTTCACAATGTTTTCTTCTCATTCTTAGAAGTATTTGAATGTGATAATGTCTGTATGTATTTAGTCTATTAATATTTCCTTGAATTAGATTGAGTAAAATACAATTCATATAGATGTGCCATTTGTTCTTCCATGATGATTAAAACCTATTTTTACTTGGTCTAGCTTTGATTTAGCTGATTTTAGTTAGTGGCTCTTAAATAGTCCTTACTTGTAGCCAGACAAACTAGTCGTTGGAATGGCCATAGCAAAGTCATATCCCATGTAAATCTATGGACAAGGCTGTGATTGAATGGTTACTTTTGAGAACCCCTAGCTTTAATATTTATACTGATATTACTTCTATTATATTTGTATATCACCTTTCCCCCCTTTCTGTAGAACCCTCCTGTCTCCATTTTATTTTTACAATAACCTTGTGAAGTAGGTTAGGCCAAAAGTCGGACTGGCCCAAAGTCACCCAACTTCATGGCTAAGTGTCTCAGATCTCCCAAGTCCCAGTCTAGTGCAATACAATTTCACTAATAAACGTTATTAGAGGATAACAGAAGAAACAAATTTTGCTTATGCTTGCTTCAAATAAAGCCAGGAATCGCACCAGTATCCTAAATTTGATTTATTGAGTACAATTCTGGTGTTAGAACATTGCTTTTCACTCTATAAAGTGAGAGATTTCTACACTGCGCATGGATGCAAGAGCAGCCTATCTATAGAGCAAACCAAATATTTCCTTGGGCAGGGATAGGAATAAGCAGTGCCCAGGTGCTGCCCTGTGCACTCATTGGTGCTGCCACAGTTGAAATCACAACTTCTACATTTACCTCCTTTCCTTACTTAACAAATTGCAACTATTAATACTTCCAGAATTGCAGCTTCTCTTTCTGTCTCTTGTTCTCTACTTTGCATCCATTCCTTAAGGAAAACCATGATATTTTATTGTCATTGCTATAGCCAGGCCTACCCCCTCTCTAGCTTTCTCCTCTACCCCCTGTAGTAAAAACAGTGGAATCATCAATCCTTCCATCACAGTATCCCTTCCTTGTAAGAGATGCTGTGCCTTATAATGTAAAGTAATGCCCCGTCACACTGCTCTTGCCTGCCCTCTGTCCCAGCAGCTTACACAGATGCTACTGTTACAATTAGCAGTCACAGAATATATGTGGTATTGCAAGTGGATGAGAGAAATAAAACAGAATGGAAGGTGCAGTAGAATTTAACTAGAAAAAATAGTGAATATCCTGGAAAGTAAGAGAATAAATAAAGCAAAAAAGGAAAAAAAGAAAAAAATGCTTTCTTTTTGGGTCTGGCCCACCTAGTTGCCCAAAATAAAAAGCAGCTCTCAAGAGAGCTGCCACCTGAAAAATTTTGGTATCAGAATTTCTAGGATGTTGGTGCTCAGCTGTGGAAATTTCTTGCAGACAGTAACTGCTTCTGCCTTTGGAGAAGGTACACAGAAGTGTCTTAGGAGATGCTAGCTGGCTAATTTCCTCTATATGCCAGGGGACAGGACAGAGAACTTCTGATTTTTCCATCCAAGCCTCCTGGAGCAAAGGAGAGAAAGTATGACAGTTTAGCTCCCACCATGATTGGGAACCTATGTGGTGGGGTTACCTCTGAAAGCACCCTTACTAGCATTCAAGTTTCACGTTCACTTATGAATGATTCAGTGTATGGAATTTTCTTGCATCAGTCGTATATTCCATCTCTTTTTCTTTTAGGCGCCAGAATCGCCGAATATTCACAATTGTATGATCAGATTGTTTTTCGGGAGACCTCACCTAAATCACAAAAGGTCACTAATCAGGAATCACCAGCCATAAGGTATTCCTCACCAGTGTCAACATCTCAGTTAGCTGCTGAATGCTTAAAAGCAGAAGACTGGCTTTTGCACTCAACATACAGTAATGAAGAGCTCTCTGACTTCTCTCCTTGGCCAGATGCCCCACACCTGAAGTCCAAAAGCCCTCCTTGCGAGAGGAGTGTAAAGCAGGGCATGAAACAGTTGCCAGCAGCCTGCTCTGTGCCTTCCCTTCAGCTTCCTCTTCGCCCACATGTTTCTGCACAAAGGTGGAGTGCTATTATAAGTCAGCCTAACAAAGAGAACATGCATCACAGCCACATCTACAATTCTTTGGGGAGAAAGGAAGGCAGTGCAAAGGCGCAGATGTACGGCAGATCGCAGTCATCTTCCTCAATTGTGGTCAACAAGACTGTGGAATCAATCAATTATCCACCTGAAATGGGTAAGAAGCAGTTGCATTCAAGCAGGAACTTTCTCTCTGACCATTATCAAGAAACAGAGCCAGGTGCCTCTTCAGGCCTTTCAACGTGTGATGACACCATACAGATCCCAGACAATTTATCTGAAATGATTCTGCAAGATTCTCAAAAAGTTCTAAGAGTTAACAGAAACTTGCTGTCAAATGCACAAATAGCTACCCAGAACTACTTTTCTAATTTCAAAGACACTGATGATGGAGAAGGCGATGACGATGACTATGTTGAGATCAAATCTGAAGATGAGGGCTCTGATTTAGAGACTTTCTACAACCAAACAAAGCTGTCGGACTCAAAACTAAATGCACATTCGTCTCCTCCAGAAACTGTCAGTGGCCAAAATATGCCCTTGGCTTCTGCTAAGCCATCAGACTCTTTCCTGAGCACATGTAGTGATTCAGATAAGTTGAATGACTACCTATGGCGAGTACCTCCTTCTAATCAGCAGAATCTTGTCCAGTCCTTAAGGGAGAAATTTCAGTGTCTTAGCTCAAGTAGCTTTGCTTGATATTTTATAAAATTTCTGATTGTTCTGCCTTAATGCTGAGAAAGTGTATAGTAGGACAATCAGTACTCGTAATGCAAATTGTAGCATCCCTATTTTTAACTATTGTCTACTAAGAGAGTTAAAGTGGCCGGGTTTTGCACTGTTGAGTAACTGAGTGATTTGAGATAACAGGCTTGTTTTCTTTGCATTTTTTTGGCATTTCTCCTCATTGTAAGATAGTGGTGACCATTACATATGAGAGCCAGAATTCTGAATTTTGTGGAAATGCAATGTAAAGTAATGCTAAAACAGAAGGTATGGTTAGGGGGCTATAACATACGCTGTGATGTGTGCAGTATCTGTGATAAGAGTATTCTAAGATCCACTCGCTTACTTACTGAGGTATGAAATACTGTGACTGGATTGAGGCTTATTAAGTGTCATTACAATTTCTTAAAATTTCTTCCTCCTCCTGTCCACCTTTCCGAGCAACTTTGATGAATAAAATGTGCAGTTGTCGTACAGACCAAAATGGAAATTGTGGGATCATGCAGAAAAAGCTTTCAAAAGCACCTTTCGTTCTTAATTAAAGCCTGTAGAGTAACTGGAACTCCATATTTGGGAAATGGCTTGCAGGTGTAACGCCCACTGGCAGTGTGCTAAACACCATCTAAGGGTGTTTCTGGCCCTTTTAGTTTTTCATTTCAATTTATGATGCTTTTCTTTTATTTCAGTATGCTAAACACATTCCTTTTCTTGTTTTAGATCATGTCTCCCATTTATTACGTGGGATATCCATGATCACTTTGTAGCCCTATTCAGGTATTTGACACCCATGTATACTGAATGCATGACTGGATTATCAGGAATGTGTCAGCTAGCCCTATCTCCGAGCAGGCACACCCAAGCTGACCACGTCGCCCAGCCAACATGTCACTGGCATCTCTGCATTTATTGGATGTCCTCTGTGAGGACACACATTCTGGTTAGGCAGCGTATCTTTGTGGAAGGAGCCCCAGCCCATCAGCCCTCTTGAGACTGACACCAGTCTTGCATTGGTCAGGCACCATGGCCAACACAACTGGCCACTGGGGGGCAGAGCCCTATTGTGCTCAGTAGTTTTGTCAAGGTTTCACTATCCATGGGTCCTAAATTCCAAAATAGGGGTAGTTCTTGCTGCCAGTGCTGCTGTGAATTAAATTCTTCATTGCACAGCTTTCACCTGGATTACTTGAAAAGATAACTGTGCAAATACATGACATATAGCCAGTTTTCTGTTAGACGTGAATGACAACATAAATACAAAGCATAATGCATTTTACCAAGAAGGCTTCTTTCTTATGCATTGTTTCCACTTTCAGTACACTTCACTCTAGCAGTTTTCTCTAACTTGGTGCTTCTCCAGATGTGTTTTGACTACAGTTCCCAGAATCCTGGAACTTGTAATCCGGTGCATCTGAAGAACACCAGCTGGAAAAAGCTGTTCAAAGTACAGTAACGTAAGTTTTAAGATGTCAGCAGCTGCCTTTATAGATGCTTTTAACATAATCCTCCAACTGACATGTATATATATTTTCCTCTTCTGAAATGAGTACAGAAGAATTCATGAATGCTGAATTACCCCACAGCTACATACAGATGCTTTTTCATTGTGGAAAAACTATGTCAAAAATATAGAGCTTTTCTCTCAGTTGTAAGGTGAATTTAAATGCTCTCTCCTGGTTTAGCAGAAGAGCTGACTATAATGCAACCCATGTCTAGTAAAATGAATGAGAAACATTGTAAATGTATACAGAATTAGCAAATATCAATTTTATTTAATAAAACAAGTGAAATAATGTAAATAATAGTAATAGCAAAATTAAATGCATTAACAATAGGCACATTTATTTTTCTTTGTACTGGAAAAGGAAATTTGTTAACCAGATAAACTAATGAGAACTCAGTAGAGACAAAGTTGGAATTTATAATTTGTAGCTTTGTAAGGAACAAATATTAATATGTATTGGGTACTTTTAGACTTGCTGGAAGGGAAGCAAGATGGTGAAATTCACACATGATGAAGAAAAGTTTGAGAAAAGATAATCTTGAAACCTTTTATTTAGTTCATGCTTTGTTGGTAGTTTAGTTCTGTTGTTACTCTCCAGTGCTACGAATTGTCAAAAAATACCAGTTAAATAGAAAGTTACTCCCAACTTTTTTAAAAATCTAGATTTTATAAAATATGAAGGTGAAACCAAAAGAATGCCAATGTTCCTTTAGTTTGAATTTTATATGTTTACCTGGCTAGTGAACTATTGGAGATGCCATGCGTTACTCTGAAGACAGCATTTGCTTTGTGTATTTCTTCATATTGTAATCTCTGATTTGGAAGGTTACATTTATTCTGCTTCCCTTATCAGTGGAACTATTTTAGTATTTTAAAACAAATACCCAGAAAGGCTATTTCTTGGTACTCAAAAGGTGAATTAGCTTGTGGAGGCTTCTACATCCACCATTGGGGGCTTACAACCCCATTTCCTTTGTATATTTATTCTATTCATAGCAGTGGGCAGCAACAAAAAGGATAATGCAAGGATACTATTTTAGCTATTACTAAAATGGAAACAATAGACCCAGAAAATATGCTTACAGCAGGGGATTGATACAACCTGTGTTGCAAACTGGGTAGGTCTCAGGATACCCATTGTGATCCCATATTATTAAAATGGATTTTTCTTTGGAAGATGTGTAGCTCTTCTGTATAACTTTTTGTAGGCAGTTTTATTTTAAACATTGTACTATTGCTTGTAAAAGACTGTTTTTTTAATGTTTTACTCATTCTGTATTTGTTGGTAGTAGCTGCACTATACTACTGTACAGGGTTCAAAATTCTGGATGGATTCACACTGTTTCCTAGTTTTTGCATAATTTTAGTTTTTATTTTCTATTGGTAAGAGACACAACCTCTACGTTGCACTTTTTCATGACTCATTTTGTAAGGAATATGTAAAAAAAAACCTGTATGTACATGTAGATGATGTCATAAGTAAAGCTTTTCTCATTTTTATGTTTAAAAGCTGAGTTTAAAGCATGCCAGACCTGAATATATGTAAGTAAAATGCTGCTTAGAAAAAATAAATTTGTTTGCAGGAAATTATTTAAATAATCTCCATCTTTTTAATAACTTGCTTCACCTGCAGCACCTACTTTCATGGATTCATCACAATACAACTACTGATTGTGTGCTTCTGTCCCTCCACCCCCATTGGAATGGCTAGCCTTGATACCATGAGCCTATTAGCCATCTAGGATACTCAAAACAAGACAGTGGGTTGGATCTTCATGTTCACAGAAGGAACCAAATTCTAAGCCCACCACCCCATGTAGATGTTTCTTCTTCCTTTGCACTTCCTAACTTCCAGAGCACTTCGACCAGGGGCTGAAGAGGGATCAGTGAAAATCCCTCTGCCCTTGAGACTTCTACCCACATGTAGTCTGGACCCAAACTGGTATATTCTGTTATCACTCTGCAACAACTTTTTATAACTTATTTCAAATGTTACTTTATGCATTTCCTGGTTGGCTCATTTGAACCAAATTCTAGAAAGCCCTCACATCCTCCCTCCCTCCCTCCCTCCCTCCCAGAAAAAGACATCACCTGGGAGGGAAAAACCACCACCACCACCACAGCTAAGGTCAAAAGGAAGCAGGCGGGCATCTCTGGGCCACAAGACCTACTGGTACTGACCAGTAAAGATCCCTAATAGATGCAAGAAAATTCCAGAAACAAAAAAGAGGCAGCTGCTTAAGAAAAGTTTAATTTTTTCGATACTGTCATTTATTAACAATTAAATGCTGGTTTACACAATGTAAAAAAATCAATAAAACTTCTTAGTGACAGTACTTGAGACTAAAATAATTAAAATACCAATTAACAATGTAAAAACTGGATGGATAAAAGGTTTTGGCCTGGCACAGGAACAAATAAAGTGTTTGCACCAGGTACACCTCTCTAGTTCCCTAATCAGGATACCATAGCAGAAAAGACCCTGACCTCTATCAAAGAGGGCTCTTGGAGGAGGACTTCCACAGATGATCTTAAGGTCCAAGCAGGCTCATATGGAAGATGTTCCCTTAGATAACCATGCCCTAAACTGCTTAAGGCTTTATTATGTCATCATTGGCACCTTAAATCAGGCCTGGACTTCAATCGGTAGCCAATGTAACAGATACAGGACCAGCATATTATGTTCCCAACTACCAGTCCCAGACAGCAACCTGGCAGCTCTATTTTGAATCAATTCCAATGTCCAGAGCATCTTCAAGGGCAGCCTCATGTAAAGCACGTTACAATAGTCCAAATAGCTGTATCAACCAGTTTTTCAATAAAGAAGCATTCAGTGTAAGTTTCTTGAAAACCCACTGAGAACCACATATGTTATGCAACTGTCTATTTGGAACCAGTACTGCTGCTGCCTTCCCTGAGGCTGCTGAACTAGGTGTCCCACAATGCCAAAAGGCGAGTTGACTGCTGTCAAAAACTGAAAACGGTGGCTTGTTGCAGTTCACAGCTAAAGGCCAGCCAGAGTAATAAGAGCCCACAACCCAAACCTCAATAGAAGCCTCCTGTCCTTCCAGTACAAAAAACTAATAGTTCTGCCACGCATCTGCAGGAAAGCTTGACTGTTCCCCTTCACCACAGTTGTGGCGCTATGAATCTTTAGAAAGAAAATGTGTTACAGCTTCTAGCATCCTTCCAGCTGCTCATGCTGCCAGCCTCTTGCTGGGAATTACAGGGGCTTTTTCCCGTCTTAAACGTGCAGTCGGAATATGAGATGGCTCGGTTCCATAAAGAAAGCCACTAAAGCTGAGCAGGTCAGATCCTGGATAGTCTGGGACGACTTGACAGCACGTCGCAACAAAAGTGCATAACCCCGAGTCCAAAAAGAGTAATTATTCCGCCTCATTCGTCTTCACGGCCGAGATCCTTTACGCTTCCCTTGGAAGTAAGGCCCTCCGCTTTTCGTAAGCTTTAGGTTCCAAGTATGCATGCGCCGGATGGAGGCTGACCCTAGCCACGTTTCTTGGGATGGAACCCCTTTCAAGCAAGAGCGCGATCTTAACCTCCCCTGCCTCCAAGGGCGCAAGGTTTCCGCTGAGGGTTCCCCGCCACTTCAGCGTGCTTGAGCTGCAGCCTGTTCACCTGAGGCGGCTTTTGGGATGCATCGCCGCTTTGGGTCCAAAGCTGTGGTGCAGCGGAGGGGGGGAGGGGAGGGGGACTCTCCGTCTGGCTCGGCCCCGCCTTTGCAGGCACTTTTTCCGTGGCCGGAGTCATCCGAGGTCTGGCCTCCCTTCCCCGCCTCGCCTCGCCACGTCCCTCCCTCCCCAGAGCCCCGCAACTCCTCCCCGCCCGGTGGCACCAGTGGCGGCGGCGGCGGCGGCAGCAGCGCCAGCAGCGCCTCCTGCACGCTCTTCTGCCGGTACACGATGAGGCTTTCTGCGCTGCGCCGTCTGCCGTGGAGACCGGCGGCGCCATCACCCAGGCGGGCTGAACAGAAGAGGAGCTGCTGTTGGAGCGCTCGGGAGAGGCCGCTGCGCCCGGCTCCGACCGGCTGTGCCGCCACCGCCGTGCTCCTGCCCCGCCGCGGAATATGCGGCACGTGGAGCCCCTTGGACGAGCAACGCGCCGCCGTCAGCAAAACTCTTGACTCTGCAGCCAGGTAAGCGGCCAGTTCCATTCTTCCCCGGGGGGGGGGGGGGGGGCGGCCAGTCCCAGCGCTCGCTCGCTCTTTCATAATCAGCGGCCGGCCCGCGCTCCACGTGGGAGGGTACAGCAGCCCCGCCTCCGCGTCGTTGTGTCTGATGCAACAACGCGGTTGAACGGAGGCGCGGCAGGGGAAGAGTGACGGCGTCCTGAGCCAATTAGTTGCCAGGGAAGGGAAAGGCGCGGCTTCCTCCTGCGCCACGTGATCACGTTCATTGTCGGGTTCTGGACCGGTGAATGGAGTGAGTGCTGATGTTATCAGAGCCTGTAAGACGGCTTGTCCCCTTGACATGTCGCTGCTTTTACGTAAATAGGGGAAAGCTGCCAATTTTGTATTTTTGTCCGCGTCGCAGTAGTGCAGCCGTCTAAGACTGCTAACAGTATTGCAATTATAAACAGTGCGGTTACTATGTCGTCATTAATAATAATAATATATTAATTAGGCATCTCGGTTTCCACCAAATGATGCATTCATTCTGCGATCAGCAATAATGCAAAATATAATACAATACAAAAAAGGCAATCAAATAGTTACGTAAGGACCAAAAACAAGGCAAGCCAACATTAGTAAGAACAGCCAAACCTAAGGCAGCCGAGAGGCCAACAGGCTGTCTTGCTAGGAAATGGCTTTGCCTGCCAGTAGAAGATTAGAAATGGGACTTGCTGGGCCTCCCTTGGCCCTTTTCCTTTAAGAGTGGCAAGTAAATTGAAGTTTTTCTGCGTATTTTCATCTCTCTAATAGAAAAAGATGTACTTGCTTTCTTTGCACTTAGCCCATTGCTTTTATAGGAGTAGTGAGAAAGTTGGCAGCCCTTGTTGGGAAAAACTGCACTTTTATTGCAACTTATGCATTATACTCAGAAATAAGCTTAACTCTGGTCAAGTGACTTAAGTCTGTTTGGTCAACATCACACATTTACATCATACATGCAAGCTTACATTGTAAGTCGCTTCTGAATTTGTGTGTGACTGGGATGCTAGTAACTTTGGGTCAAGGTCTCTCAGTATGGTATCTTTCTGAGGTTGCTCACATGTAAGAGAGACAAATTGTGAGTTAATTAACCCGCAGTTTGCTGTGGTGCATGCTAGGTACGTTTTGCAGCCTTAATCTCTTAAGGCTGCCTTAAAGAGATCTTAATCATGGGTTGATCAGCCCTCAGTTTACCTACTGATTGTTCAGATGTCAAATACCAACTCCCAGTCAGTCTGATTTGGAGTTAAATATCCAAAAAAGACTGCAAAATGCATCTAGCATGTGTCATGATAAATTGTGGATTAATTAATTAACACATAGTTTGTTGCCAATTTGGGAACCAAGTCTCTTGTTTCCTTGTTTTTACAAAGCCTAAACTAAAGTTTTATATCATAGATGACTGACAAAAGCAAATTAGCAAGTTTTTGCAATATGGTGACTTATTCTGCCAATATCTTTCTGAAAATGTTGTCTTCAAAATAAATGCTTTCCTCTCTGCTACCCAGTAAAAATTAACCTAGTATTACTTAAAATTGCTTGTGGCTACGGACAGCTATGTTAAGAGCATCACTTCTTGCATTCCAGTGGAATTACAAAGGGAGCTGAACCATAAACTCTTTAGTATTGTGGAACTTACTAGTTTGTGTTGCTTCAGGGTATAAGTAAGAATCACTTCGTGGGAACCAATGGAGTGGTTCGTGGGAACAAGAGTTACCTATTGAAGTTATGGCCTGTAAAATAAACATGATAAGAGGCCTCATTCCTTCCAAACTTTCATATGTGTATTTTGTAGGCAGAAGCTGCATGTTTATACATTGCTGTGCCATTATAAATGCCAGATACTTCTGAGCTCTGCGGCACAGTTTGATGCAGGACATTGAATGTAGTGGCACCAACTCTGAGGAATAATCTTGACTCTGACAGTAGACGTGTGATAACTCTTTTTCTTTTTGGGTGAATATTGAAGAGCCATCTGTTTAAGCGCTCCCTGAATAGTGTATAGTGTAACCTATTGTCTTATGTGAATATGATCTGTTCTATGCATCGCTCTTCGTTTTTATGTGAACTGTGTGCACTGCCTTGAAATCTTTTGATGCAAGCGGTTTATAAATGCCCGTCGATAAATTATTAATGAGATTGCTTCCACATAGTTTGTTCTTGGAAGTTGGCCTTGGGTCCAAATTATGAACAATGGTGCCAAGGTCTAGCGTCCCACAGTCCAAATCCCAACAAATGATCAAGCAGGGAGAAGCAACGTTATTGTCTGGAATGCCAGTCACTGCCCCTTGGATGGGGAAGGAATGAAAGGGTGGAATGTTCAGCATTTCTGAAGGATCTACCAAGTGCACATGCTACATTTTACTGGGCTATATAGTAGGATTACCTCCCTGCAACCACAATCTAGTCACAGAAAGTAGGGTTGGGGGTTGCCCCAGGATGTCACAGGAGAGGAACCCTTGGAAGAAGAGAAAGGTTCTCAGTTCAGAGGCCTTGCATCCAAAGCCACTTCTGACCCAGCTCTGGAACACCCCCTTTGAGCACCTAACTCCAATAGATTTATGCCCATAGAGTTTTCCAGGTAGGCATATGCACACTGCTGGTAGAGCATTTTTTTGCCAGTAGCTGTACTAGGTTATTAGAATTCCTCTATTATAGTGCAAATATTGTTAAGGAAATAAACACTTTAAGTTCAATCCTGTGGATGTTTGCTGAAAAATGAGCTCTGCTGTGTTCACTGGGGCTTACTTCTGAGTAAGTGTACAGGTAACAGCAATTCTATTGCATGCTGTTCTGTGAGCTGTCCAGAGAGCCCTTGGAATATGGAGCAGCATACAAATGTGGTAAATAAAATGAATAAAATCTACACATGTTCGGACAGAAAGAGAACTTTCACCTTCTAGCATTTGGCAGCCAGGTATGCTGGATATGAGCTTTTCTTTCTAAACACAGATTTCTCTTTCAGTTGTCAAAAGTGACGTATTACCACAAGATGGTTTTGTTGAAAATGAATTGTAATTGTGGGTGATCTGGGAAATTTGGATGAAATGTATGGGAGAAAGTTGCATCCTATTCTAATGCAGAGGGTATGTTTGTTTATTTTTAGAGAAATCATTGAGAGCTCGAGAAAAGCCCTGGACTTACTGCAGATAAAGCATCCTACACTTAAGCCAACACTTTCTATTGTACAGGTAAAGCACAGAAAGATCAAAAAGTAGATCATGGGATTCATATGGATTCAGGTACCCGAAGAGCTTGAAGATTGAGAAGGTGTAGCAGTTCAATTAAAAGTTTAAAAGCTTGCTGGGGTGGGGGGCACAGACTCTTGATCTTTCAGCTTCTGAATGGCTGCTTCTCTTGAGGACTAATGTATCTTAAATCTAGACAGAAATAGTCCTGGCTGCATAGATGTATTCTTGCACCTCTGCGAGGGGGTTGAGGCTATTTTTGCTTGGCCTGGGATCCTGTGGTTTAGCCCTTCATGCCAAGCTGCTTCTGAGGAACGGGTGGGGAGGTTTGCTCAGCCAGATGTGGCAAGCTGGATTTAAGTGGGGGCGGGATGCTCTTTGTGGGAGGGATGCTCAGTGCTTCACCCTGGAGCGACTCTCTTCCCTGATTTCAAACAGTGCTTCGCCCTTTTTCCAGGGTGGCCAGTTTCCCATAGATATTGATACTATATCTATACTAGAGCTAGATACTCGTTTCCCATAGATATTGCCCACTGAATCTGAATTTGAACCCAGTTTCGACCCCCAGTCCAGGTACAGCAGCCTTTGCACTGTACCACACTGGCTGGTATTGCTACACGTGGTTTCATTCTGCAGAAGAACACATCTTGAAAACATCTACAGCACTACATCTACTGATCATCTTTACTGCTTGCCAAGCTTCACTTTTTCCTGTGAAATGCATGTAGAAACAATGTTAATATAGTTCCCTTTGTATTTTGTAGAGGTGTGTCTTGTTTCTATGTAACCACAAGGCTGGGCAAGCACCAGTGGTTTTAAAACAACAACAAGAGCTGGTAATCAGGGTAGGAAGGCCAAGCTATTCATTGCCACAAATCTGTTCAAAAGTGCTTGGTGGTGCAAGACACCCATTTCATACCTAATATTAAAGGACAGGCGCAGTTTCCATTCATGTTATTTCTCAGCCAGAAAATTCTGATCCAGGGCTGCCTGCCAATCTTAACTCAGTTACAAGTTGCTTATGAAGCTTTTTCTTGGCCCTGTTACAATTACTCTTTGCTTTTCTTTTTTTCATCTAACCAAGGTTAATGATGATGATTTGGGGCAAGAAGTTATCAGAAACATTGCTGAAGAGGTGAGAATATGGAAACATTATCCCTCTCCCCTCAAAATAAATAAATGAAATAAAAATTGAAAGTGGGTTGAATTTTGTATTAAACCGTATCTTTGTTTCTTTGCAGATTGGCTTGAATGTTGTTTGTATCTGCCTCCCTTCCAACTGCACAGAAAATGAGGTAACCAATTTTGTGAATCTACATTTTCACTGTTACTGTATTGTTGGATTCACAGCATCTATGCCTTTTCCTAGCAGTATCTGTCATAACATGACTGTAAACAGCATAAAGATGCAATCCTATACCCACTTACCTGGAAGTACGTGCAGTTGAACTCAGCTGTACTTCTAAGCAGACATATCTAAGATTGCATTTTAACAGTATAATCCAAAGTACACAAATATGGAAGCCTTGGGGAAGTATCTAGCCTGATCCTATGCATGCTTACTCAAAAATAAGCCTATAAAGTTTGGTAAAGTTTACTCTGAAGTAATGAGTAGTTATTACAGCATTACTCAAGGAGAAGTGTATTGAGATTGCAGCTGCACACCGTGCACATCCTAGGCATGGTTACTCACAAGAAAGACTCACTGAGTAAGTGTGCAAAGCATTACATATTTAGTCTTATTTAAGTCACTGTACCTGCCTTATAAACAAGTTCTTAAATGAGCTAAGTATGTAAGAGTTCATATTCTACTAAATAAACGGTTTCTAAAAATAACCCAGGAATTCAAATTTGAGTCGGATGGTCCTCAGTCCTTGCTTCACCCCTGCACATCATCCTGTATTTCTCTACATATCCATATCATCTCATAAAACTGGAGATGTTTGCGGCTGTATATTGTTCCTTTGGGGATTTCACACTCAGGTGTTTTTTCTCAGCACCTTAAATTACAGTGTCTTTGTATTGTAAGACCATTACCAATGGGTTGCTAATAAGAACTACATTATTACTGGTGGTTATTGTGCAATCATAGAATCACCAAGCCGTTAAGAACACATATTTTCCACACAGGCAGGTAAATATTATTGTTAAAATTATTTTGAGAGAGAGATTGTTTTAGAGAATGTGCAGTAGTGCTCTCTCTACCTTCTCCCTGCTACATTTGTTTCTGCTCGAGTGTGACTGTGTGGCTTGGATCCAAAGTCCCCTTTGCACAAGTGGAAAGCACTTCTGTAGACACAGAGTTGAGTAAGGTGCATAATACCTTGCCCAGTATTACACACCTTTCCAAATGATTCCTTGAACCTCAACAGTGGCTTTTCAGGGCCAAAAGGAGCCACTGCCAGGGAGAGAAATTAGCAACAGATCGCACACATTCGGAAGTGCTTTCCAGAAGCTGGATTCAGGCTTATGGTTCCACAATAAAACCTGGGAATAAGCTCCAGTGAGACTTATGTATAGGACTCCACTGTAAATGAGCTTGATATATTTTAATGGAAAAAGTTCAGTGGTAGCCTTATCAAATGGAACTCTTTGTGAAGAGCTACTTTCTTACCATAGCTGTTGACTGTAGAAAGCAACTGTGAAACTTCACTACAAGTTCTGGCAAGCTTAGATATGAAAGCGCTTCAAAGATGGCACTTCTAATAATTATACCCATGATGCTAGAAACTTAAATGCACTACTCATAAAATATAATTTGTCAGAGAAACATGCTACAGCACCATGATATAGAAGGAATGGGGGAGAGCCAGAAAGTTCCAATCCTTTTTCCATGTTTCCCATTCTTCGCAGAGGCAACTTCTTCAGATGGAGTGCAGGGCAGAGCCTGGTCTGCTTCTCCAAATCTTGTCCTTCCTGGCCTCTACTTTTCTCCTAAACAGAAATGCATTCCCCAGAGCCACAGGCATTGGTGAACAATGTTCTGTACATAGCATAGAGATTGTACCTGGGGGTAGAAGCAGGGAAAGACTTCTTTCCCAAGCCCAGCCTCTGAGGAAATAGCATCAGAAATGTATTTTCTCTTCCTTGGAACTGTCTTCAGGAGGTACATGGTTCCCACTTTTTGTGGATTCTCTGGCAGGGAGTTAGTTCCCATCCACATGTTGGCTGGGTTCTGAAACACAATAACCCATCATCATGAGTATAAATTATTGCTGAATTTGGGCTTGTTACTGAAATGTGGCTTGTTGAATTTTCTGAACCCAGCTATACTAACAAATCATATTTTGTTTACCACAAACAACCCATATTTCATAGCCCAAGAAACCATGGTTTTCAAAGTCCATACTCATAGGTGGTGTCTGAACCCAGTGACTGCTTTTAGGTGCAAAACATTTATCATCCACACCAAACAATGACCATTTGTTTATCTGAGAGAACTAAACCAGCCTTGATATACTTGTAAGCCCTTGTCTTAGAAGCATCATCCATTCACCTGTCTTCGTTGTACAATGACATCTTTATCTCTGGTTGTGTTCTGATGTAAAAAAAAAGACTGCAAACATGGAAGGATGAGGGAGATGTGTGTAGTTGCCTGCCCTCTTCACTCCCGGCCTCTGCATGCTGCCAAGGGACTGTAGCTTTCCACATGGTCTAGTCACAGTCCCCCACAACACTGGGAGGGTTCCTGATCTCATAGAGGCCTGTAACCACACGATTCAGCCATGCCTGGTTTACCTCTTCAGACTTCCTTCCTTAGCATGGAGTGGAGGAGTTTCTGCAGGCATCTCCAGTTGTTGTTCACATATGAACTCCAGAAGAGGACTTTTTAAGAGGGCTTTTTTCCTCAATGGATAGCAAGTTATTGCCATATTATAACTTTATTCATCCACCAAGCTAACTGCACTTCAGGACCGCTGCAGTTTCATGCTAGCAATTATAAACCCTGCACAGCTGTAATTGTACAGTGATGATGCCCCTGCTTGACCTGTTCATATTTGGCATCATCCTTGAGTGATATCTTCAGAGTTATGAATATCATCTCATGATAGTTCTGTGGACTGTTGCAATTAGTGTGCCTTCTTTTCAGCAGTAGCCTGTTGCTCCTGTGTCAGCGAGGCAATGCAACCAGTCCAGGGCTGTGTTTGAAGGAGCTGTCCGTGGTACTGATCCTAGTTGGGAAATAGGATTCAGTGCCATGGCTAACTCTTGAAGGTTCTGCTTAAGCTTGGAGTGGAAATATCATTCCTTTGACACTGCAGTCACTTGCCTGTACTGAGTCTTTGCTATGAGCTCTCCTAAGTACAGATTGAGATATATAAGAGTAGACCTGCCCATCTGTATACTTTCACTGTAATTTTGTGTATGCACTTTTGCTGAATTCTTTAGCTTCTGCAGGTGAAATTCATATCTGATCAATGGGGAAATGCATCATATTTAAAACTAAACTCCATTCACATTTGACAGTGCTCTAACATTGAGGGGGCTGTGGCTCATGAGTAGAGCACATGCTTTGCATGCACAAGATCCACAGTTCAATCCTCAGCATCATCAGATAGGGCTGGAAGTATTCCTGCCTGTAACACTGGAGAGCATAGCCAGTCAGTGCCAGTGAGACTGGGTGGATACCAGGGTGGACAGAATGCTGGTCTGGCTTGCTATAAAACACCTTCCTGGGTTCCTAAGTCCAGTACTTTTACAATCTTGATTTGTTAACTTTATATAGGTAATAGATGAAATAATAAAGCTCAATGAAAATCCCAAAATCCATGGCCTTCTCCTTCACCTCCATAAAGAGTTATACACAAGCAAAGTCTTGAATGCTGTTAAACCGGAGAAAGACGTGAACGGGTAAGCTAAGCACTACAAAGTCCATTGGGCTGATACAAATGTTGGGACACTGTGGGACCTTTACTGTCCTTAAAGTTGTCAAAAACATTGCCTAAGTTGGCTTCCTCCATCCCAACCTATTATTACAGTCTTTATATGATTATGTTCTGCTGGTTCCAAAAGACAAAACCCAGGTTATTGGAGAGAAAAATCAAATACACTATTATATATATTTTTTCTTAGTATAGCAGTAAAGTTGCTGATATTCATTAAGTCTCCCTACTTTTTTTAATCTTTGCATTTCCAATAGCAGTGAAGGAGTGAACGGTCCAGTTTACTGTCCCAATGTCATGTCAGTGGAACTTTCAGCTGCATTGAGAGTTCTTCAGAAGCTATGGCAGAAATGTGGGCCTGGCCCATCCAGTCTCTTAGGCTTCCAGATTATGTGCAAGGTAGAGCAATTCTCTCCCTCTCCCCCCTGTCTGCTTCCCTTCAAAAGAGCACGTGCATTTTTCCTAGAGGCACTAGGAGCTGCATGTGCATTCCAACAGAAACAGTGTTTATTTCTGGAGATCATCCAAAGTTGCCTGCTCTCTTGGTCTATTATTAAAAGTAAGTTTGAGGCCTTGATTTGTCATTTCTACCCCATCTTCAAAGAAGCATCATTAAAACTCATAGCTCACAGGGAAGATGTAAGAAGGGAGAGGGTTGACAGCCTATAATAATGTGCCTTCAATCATCAGGTGATTCTCATAAGCAGGGAGGAAAGTTCTCTTAAAACAAAGGAGTGGGGGTTTTATCACTTGGCCACAAAAACCTTTCCGCATAATTGCTCTCTGTTATTGGAGATACCATAGAGAAAGTGTCTGGTTTAGAGACAGTGGGAGCACATTCCAGGCCTGTTTGACAAATGGCGACAGACTTCCCTGGTGAGCTCTGATTGCTGAACTGTTATGCAAGTATGCAGTTGCTTCACTGTAGCAGCACACATTAAAAAGATATCAGGAGAATGGGTGGAAGAAACGGCAATATATAAACTTGTATTTAGGGTGTAATCCTGTGCGTGTTTATACAGAAAATGGCTGGTTGGCAATTACTGGGAGCTGAAGGACTGTTTTCTGTCTAAACGTGAATAGGGCTGGGTTCTTAATGTGGTTTTATTAAGGAAGGGAAGTGAGGATTTTCTTAGCAATTCCAAGTAAGGGATGGAGCAGGATTTTCTTTGAAGCTGATTTCCTTCAATACAGTTTCAAATCAACTGAGAAACTGTGTTTGGCTTCAGTAGGTATATATTTCATTCTACAAAGAGAAGTGTTCTAATGGATTGATAACATTATGATATTTCATGGATATGCATGTCCATGAAAGATATAAACATTCTGGTCTCTCTCTCTCTCTGCCTTGGTTCTCTTATTTATTTACTTATTACAGAGTAACAGATTTTAACTTGGTGAGATTAGTGCATGGAGATATGCATGAATGTGTGGTTCCCCCAACCGCTGGTGCTGTGATCAAGCTTCTGGAAAAACTAGGTACAGCATAATTGTTTCTCTGCATCCACTACACTTTCTGTGTTGACATCCTGGCTCACCCATGCACTGCTGAAGTTGCCTGAGTCGAATGATGGCTCCTCTGCAAAACACCGGCCTGCCATGCAAGGTTGTTAAGATAAATAAGATAAAGGTGCTCTCCAATGCAAGGTTAGATAGATGGGTAAGGAGAGAGTCCTCTCTTCTGTGAAGGAAATGGGAAGAAGAAAGTATAAAGATGCTTTTTTAAGTAGGGGCTCCTGGATGAAATTTCCAGCTGTTCACTTAAATTCTGCTCCTCGAGAACCCCAGAACTAAATCCTAAAGGAGAAAGTGGGGAGAGGGGGCATTTTGCAGTGCACTAAGCACACTGCACTGTCCTTCCACAATACCTCGGACTGTCTGTGAGTGAGACAAAAACCTCACTCAGCTGCAGGGTGGCTGAGAAGAGCTAACTCTCTCCAGCCCATTTCATGTCATGAAAAGAAAGTTCCTTGCTGTGTTGTTCATGTTTACTTTGTTCTTTATTCTCAGGGAGGGGAAGAGGGACTCATGGGATTTTCTACCTTGAATGCTGAAATAAGTAGACCAGTCTTGGGGACTGTGCAATATGACTTGGGGGTAGGGGAAGTGCCCAGGGCAGCAAAATGCTTTGGCCAGCCCTAGCAGGAAAAGATGCATACATTATCTTTAAAGAGAACATCCCTGTTCTGAGAAATATAGAGAAAGTTTTGAACATACATTATGGTGCTATTTTCTGGTGTCTGGGGCTTTTTTCTAGATAGAAAGAAGGAAACTGAAGCCATGCAATTCTCTCCTTAAGCTCCAGTCTTCTCCAAAACATAGCAGGATGTTGATTGTGTTCAAAGAATTAGGATAGCAGTGCTGATCCCTCTGCCTTTCATAAGTAGGCTATGGTGGTTCTGCATACTGAGAGAAAGAACAGGAAGCTGGTCGGCGAAGTTGGGTGAAGAGGAGGGTTTGAGAGGTACAAAGCCAGCTGGCCTGGTTTAATCCCTTTCTTTCTGCACCTTCTCTTCCTTGCTGTTGAGGCAAGAGTGTTCTAGGGCCTTCTGTGGATCTGGCTTCTCTTGCACTAGGCTGCTGACTAGTCCAAAAAATGGGAATGCCCATGGATTCTGACTGTTGGATGCCCTGAAGGGAAACACTCTTTCTTAGTCACAATCATCTGAGTGGCAAATGAGGCATGAGGAACAAAGAGCAGAAGAAATAAGATGGGCTGCTTATCCCATCTTCCTTGCTCCTTCTGCTTGCCTGTGTGCTTCTCATTCATGCCATCCAGACCCATACCAAGTCTCTCACAAGTCTTTAGCATAAACACAGACAGTGAATTTAAGTGGAAATACTGTCCACACTTAACTGGGAAAGCCTTACTGAACCCAGTAGGACATAGTTTTGAGTAAACATGTATAGGGAGGCATTTACTTGGGAGGTATCTAATGTAATTCCTACATTAAAAGGAATGAGACTCAAGTCCCATTCATTTCACTGGATCTATGCCATGTAGAGCTAATATTAGGTGCTGCCCAACTTTCACTGCATAACTCTACACAAAGACATGGCTCACATGATTACACTTGGGAAATAATAATAATAATAATAATAATAAATTGGCATTATTATTTTAATGTGTTTATATCCCAGCCTTCTCCTATTGTGAGAATCTCTGATAGCTTGCATAACTCCATTTTATCCTCCCAACAACAACCCTGTGAGGCAGGTTGATCTGAGAGTCAGGGACTGGCCCAAAGTCACTGAATGAGACTCATAGCCAAGTGAGGCCTAGAACCTGGATTCTAGCTCTCTAATCACCACATCCTGCCAGCTGTGTGTGCCAGGGGCACAGTTTGTAGAATTCCTCAGCGGTGCATCTTGCCTCGTTGTGCAGATTCTGCCAGAGAAGCTTGTTGCTGTTACTAAGGCTCTTTGATTTCTCTCATGCTCATGATTTGGACCTTGGATATACAGTTCTAAATGCTTTAATAATCCAGGCTTTAGCAGCCTTGGTAGGATGCAGCAGTGCAGAAAATGGAACTAAATTCCCGGATGTCCCCCTCTTGTAAATAGGAAGGAGAGTATTATGCTTAATCACTAAAAATGCAGGTTTCTGGATATTAAAGGATAAGGCTGAGGCAGCTGTTCATGACACGATGACCTCAGATTTCAATTGTTGCTGAGGAAAAATATATCTTGAACGGCAGTCTGAGACCTACTTACTTGAGAATAAATCCCATTGAATTCAGTAGGGGTAACTTCTCTGTAGACATATTGCACTGTTATGCTAGGATATGTAAAAAGAGAAGTGTCAAATGTATTCAAATCCATGTGGAACTGGATTGAATTAGAACTAGCTAAATTAACAACATGTGCAAGTAAGATATATCTTTCATTTAATTTAGCAAGATGTCATTAATGCGTCTGTTACTCAGGCCAACCTTGTGATTCCTTATATAAATACACAAAAACATACTTCTCTCTATTAATCTGTCAGAGCTGATCAAATGTCTCCTGACCAGTTACATGGTGGTCTTGGCCATCAGAAAAATTCCTTGTGTATAATAATGCTGGCTTGTTCTGATTTTTTTAAAATTGCAACTTGTTTCATAAGAGAATTTGGTAGGCGAGAGCCCAGGATCTCATGAGAATGGCTTCATGCAGTTATAGTTCTTCAATGCAGTTGGCTACTAATGTAGTTAATTAGAGCAATGTTATCTTCTGTCATCCAGCATGTACTACCCTAGATGGGAAGAAAGTGTTCCTTTTGGGAGTTCAAGGATCTTTGGAAGTCTCTTTGCAGTGCCTGCTTCAAAGAAATGGTGTGATGACTATGAACTGCCCATGGAAAATGAAGCATCTTCAGGCCATGGTAAATTATATACCACAAGCATAATACTTTTATATGTCTGGTGTTATTCAACAAGATCCTGATTTCATTCAGAATTTTGCATGTACGCAAGAGCTTTTGTTCATTCAATAAATCTAAATATTCATTTTCCTGTGCTCTCCCATGCCGGGGTCTGTTTAGTTATTAATCTCTTCTCTACACACAGTGAAATCTTAAACATCTGGTGCAGCGTCATCCCTCATTTTCTCTCCTTCCACTCCTTCTCATGCTTAGTGTTAAAGATTGTATCTTATCCAAGTGGCCCAATGGCTTAGCTTGGGAAGTTGGTCATCTTTTTTAAAAAGGCCCTCCCATCTGTTTTGCTCCTGGGTATTGAAATTGCTATAGACTTCAGTAGGCTTGGAAAATGCCCTGTTCATATAACCATGAGATTCCCCCACTGGGGTATTACATTCCTAACCCATGCTATGCATTCTATATACACAGAAGTAGATGATGGAAATGCTTCTCTTCTCTGACTTATGGTGGAATTCCATTAACAATAGAAACAGTTGAAAGACATCAGAGCCATTTGGTGCTGAACATTCTTATTACTGTCACTCTTTTAGAGTGGCCAAAAAGCAGGACTCTGCTGTCACTTTAATTGGAGTGCTCTCATTTATTGTTCCCTAGTTATTTAGCAGTTGCATTCAATGTGAACCTTTGAATTGTTTGAATTGTTCTAATTCTGGGATACATGTCATCTTTCTTTCTTTGTTGGGTGTGTCTGTGTGTTCCACTGGCTGCCTTGGATATCTTATGCTAGAAAGGCAGGATGGACATATTATTAAGTTTAGGATGGATGCTATGCAGTTAGGAGAAGGCCTTCTGGAATTAGGAGGCATGGGAAGCAGGTTTCACATCTGCCCCATAGTCAACCTTAGGGAGTGAGCACGGAAGGAGAAAAATTGCTGGAGGATAATTTCCAAGGAGCAGAAGATACAACATTTGGAGTGAAGAGGGATGTCCTTAGCTTCTCACTGTGATAAGACATTTGATAGGCCTTTTACTAGAAGCAATAAGCATGCAAAGAGCAGAGCTTGCTGGAGTGGAGGACGGGGTAGACAGTTGGGTGCCCCTCAGGGCAAATCCCCAGGCACGGCTAGAGATGAGGCAGCAGGCAGCATTCCAGTCGCCTGAGTGCTCCAAATTCTTCCTTGAAGTTCATTTCACCTTGCTTGTGTTGCTGAAAGAGAGTGTTTTCATGTTTTTAAAAGTAAGCCATTTTTCTCCATTAAGATACTTGTTTTTAAAAGTGTACGCTTCCAATAAAATGTGCATTCCTGTATTATATGCTTAAGCTTATAAATGCAGATTCCAGGACGATTTGTGCAAATTCATACTTCTGAAAGTACAGGTGTGTACATTTTGGACACATGGATTTGCATGACCGCACCCATTCAAACCTGAACAGGCATCCCTGCTTGAGTTTCAGGTTGCAAGAGGGGTATATTCGCATCAGCTGTAAACAGAAATAAAGTCTTGCACATGGCTAGACACAGCTAGGTCTGGAAACCCACCTTTTAAATTTACCACAGTGGATCTGAGAGGAGGGATGTCTGGCATTATGGAACATTGCAGGAAATTAGAAATCAGCCATGAGCAACTTGTGGCCTTCCAGATGCTTATCAGTTCTAGCAAACTTGACTAATAGTGAGGGTTGATGGGAGTTGTAGGCCAAGAGAGATCCAGAGCCCTGTTTTAAATGGTAAACAACTGCCCAAGCTAAGCCAATGTCCCCAGTAAACCCACAGCTGGACGAAAGGGCTGGCAGTGGACCAAAGCAGGTTTCAGCGCCGGTGGCATCAAGGCAAATGCTGGCATCAAAGTTGGTGGGTGTTTTGTGGGCCTTGGGCCCATGGCAAGGCGGGCTGCTGATGCTAAGCCAAGAAAAAGAACTATGACGTCAGTGGCTCACTCAAAAACTTAAACTTTTTAAGGAATACTAACTTTTTCCAGTATTTGCAAAGATTTCCAGAAGATGGCAGCCAAGTCAAAAAGTTTTACATGGAAGTTAATGTTTTATATTTTGGATTCACCGACCAAAACCTAACATATACTTTCCCTAACCTGAGCAGCTGTGATGCTATGACTTTTCTTCTTTGGCAGGACACTGTTTTCACAGCTGGTGATTTGAAACACTCTAACATTTTATATGCCTTGAGGGATGGACATAAATTTGAAAAGCATGATCATATCTCCAGTGACAAAACAACGCCTAAAATTTTAAAAATCTTGACTTTATCTTATTTTCACGAATGCTGCTCACATTGCATGATAGCTGACCGTTTCATGTGCAGCAGCATTGAAGATGATAAAAATTTCTGTGAATCTTATAGAGGCACTATCATGAGTGGTTCAAACAAATTTTCCAGGGAATAAACTAGAAAATTAAAGTCTGTTTTCTTCTATGTCAAAACATTTGTTTGGTCATAGAAAAGCATTATCACTTAATGCTCACAGCAGATTCTGATAGAAAATCAGAATTTAATACTGTGTAGTATAAAGCATTTGACTTGATAGTAATTGAATCTTGACACTGTGATTGGACCTGTCTTTACCTGAAGAGCAGGACTTTGTACTGGTTAATTTTGCTTTACCTATTTCAACTACAGGTTGGAATAATTTGGAATCTGGTCAGTGTCTTCAGAAACCTATAAACTGGTTAGAATTGATTGCATAAGTAGAGGTTTGCCAGGCAAATAATGTATCCCTAGTTATTAAATACAGAATTCTTCCATTCTGGAACAGTGCTGATCTTTTTCAATAAAGCTCAGCATCTCTCCTAGGAAAGGAATCCCACACCCATTGCATTAGAAGCCCAAGTAAGTCATAAGGCAACAAAGCAAAACAAACAAACAAACCTTCAACTTTGAATTGCAGTAACAGGACTCTGAAATCTCAGTGCTAATAGGAACATTGGTGCCAGAGCATGAGAAACACAAGAAAGCAAATTATGAGGTCACTAGGCAGACCTTATCTTCACTAGTCAGACCTTATCTGGAACACTGTGCCCAATTCTGAGAGCCAAGTTTTAAGAAAAATGCAGGAAAACTTGAAAGGGCCCAGAGGAGGGCAATAAAAATGACCCAAGGTTTGGAAATGCTGCCATATGAGGAGAGACTGAGAGAACTGGCCTGTTTGGTCTTGAGAAAAGAAGACTGAGGAGTGTATGATATCACTCTATAAGTATCTCGAAGGCTGTCACAAAGAGGAAAGACAAGCTCTGTTCTCACTCATACCAGAGTGTAGGACATGGAATAATCAGCTGAAGTTGCAATAACCCAGATTCAGGCTAGATATCAGAAAAAGTTTCCAAATTGTCAGAGCAATATAACCGTGAAGCCAGTTGCTTAAAGGGTTGTGACCTCCCCTATGCTAGAGACATCGAAAAAGAAACTGGACAGTCATCCAAGTGGGATGTTGTACACTGGCATCCTGCAACAACAGGGGTTGGACTCAAAGGCCTTCTTGGCCCCTTCCAACTCTACTATTCTGTGAAAAAGAGTATTCTTTTACCTGCCTGAGCTCAGTGCTTTTTAGAATAAAGAAGTATAAAAGTTTGGTAGTGAAGGTCAAGAAGATGTGAGTTGTACAAGCTCTCACTACATAGACTTGGTTCTGAAGCCACACTAAGTTAAACAATCGGTAGTTCAATAGCATTCCAACCAGGTGTGGTTTTCCCATTGTGAGTTGCTTTTTGCAAACAGTCCACCCTGAGAAGCCATGGCTTGTGGTAGGGTTGTTTGACTTAATGTGACTGCCTGAACCTGCCTGGCAAGAATGGTAGAAAACCCTGGTGACTACTGCTTGAAATCTTGCCGATGGTGCCACCGTTCACCCTCCTCAGTGCTGTTTGTCCCCTGGCCAGTTCCCATTGCCACTTCTACATCAGTTGCTGGGAAATCATTGCACTCATTACCTGTTTCTGAGATCCTGTGGGCAGCTGGTTGGAATGCTGGACGAGATGATCCAGCATGGCTTCTCTTATGTTGGCAATGCCCTTATATTATTAGGAACCATTAATTTTTGTTTGATCTTTATAAATTGTGCAAATAGGTTCTGATCCCCCCATTGGTCCTGCATAGTTGTGCATATTTGCAGGATCTCAACGAAACATATTTTTATATTTTATTCACATGATTCATTGACTGTTAAGTTGGCAAAGCAAAGATAAGATCTGCCACTCTGCAGAGACATTTAATCATTAGAGTATCACAGTGGCTCCAGAGAACCCCATGATAGCAACTCATGATAGCAACATGGTCACTCTGAGAAGGCCTTGTCCATTCATTAGAGTAGCACAGTTGCCTCTGTCTTCCATCCTCACACATGCCCTTCAATGCCTGGCCAAATCACCTGCCTACCTCTCACCTAGCTGATTGCCCACCTGCCTACCTCCTGGTTGGTTTGCCAGGATGGCCATCTTGCCTGCCAGCATCCTATGCAAGCGTGCTATCCTCTCTTGTATGAGGTTGTGTTGCCGCACACACTTGTATGAGAAGGGACAGCGTGCTCACACAAGAAGGGACAATTTGCTTCACATAACAGGAGACAGTGTGGAAGGCCACACCCGGCAGGGATATGGTGGCACAGTTGGGCCAGGTGGCTAAGAAGGGTTGTGGGTAGGTGGACAATCAGCCAGGCTGAAGACATGACAGGGCATCTGGGCTTTGGAAGGCATTCACCACGGGGGAGGGCAGGAAGTGCAGGGACCACCGATTACCATCTTGACCTCTGGCAGCTCGGGTGTTGCTAGGTGACCAGGGCAGCAGATGGCCGTTGGAGCAGCCACAGACACTTTTAAGAATGTAAGAACTTAAGGGAAGCCATGTTAGATCAGGCCAATGGTCCAGCCAGTCCAGCACTCTGCACACACAGTAGCAAAGCAGCTGCCCACAGGATTCCTCGAGCAGGAGGGGCACAAGCCCAAGCTACTCAGCAGCTGACTCATGCAGGCAAGCCACCTCTGGTAAGGGAGA